GGAAAGGGTATGGGTCCAGGTGATCCCTGGAGCATGCAGCATCTCGGAAGTTTAAACAAGAAAAGAAAACTTGATCAGCAGGGTGATGAAGAACAAACCAAACAGACAGAAGCACCAAAGGATGAATGGGATGATGACATGGAGTACACTCAGGAAGAACTAGAAACACTAGACATAATGGAATCAAATGCTTTGAGTCAGGTACCATAATATTTTTTCAGAAGTTGAACAAAAAAAATAATTTAAAAGTAATTCTAATCATTCTGGTGTGTTCAGAATTTTTTAAAATATGCATCGTTAAGTCAGTTTGAAATGGTTGTTCATGTTTTAAGTTGTTCTAAATTCTGTATTTAGCATTCTGCGGATAATTGATAAAAGTGAGGTATTGATTTTAAGTTTTTAAATTCATAAAGACAACTATATAATTTATTACTTATTCCTACTTCTTTATTTTATTTTGGATCCTCTTCAGTGCTTTTTAAATTATCTATTTTTCAAATATTTTAACACCAACTCGAAGAGCTAGGGACACATGTTTACACACTTAAAGTTAACTAAAAAAATAGAGATTGGGATTCTTTTCTTATATATAGTTTTTGTTTTAATTCTAGTCACAAGTTTCAGTATCTGTGAAAAAAACTACTGCAGTCAAAGCACAAGCTGATATTTCAAGTTTTGCAGTTCCAAAGGTTCCATCACTTAGTCGGTCTACCTCATCTAGTTCTTCAATACCCCTCTCAAGTCACTCCAGGTTGCTTAATAGTTTTTTAAAAATATTTTTAAAAATTGATTTTATCTGGTATATAACTCTTTGTCAAATTATGCCAGATACTCAAATGGTCTATTTAAAAAAAATAAATCCCTATTACTTTTTACAGAGAAAGTTGATGACAATTGATTTAAACAAAAAAGTATTTTGAACGTATCTATCAATAGTAAAAATCATGCCATCTTTTTTTTTGTTGTAATTTCTACTTTATCATAAACTGTTTAAAATAATTGTTGAAAAATTCTCAACTAGTTTTTTTGTGTGTAATTCTCTCCTATATCTTTTTTTTTTGCGATTCTCACATAGATCCACATCCACTGCATCCAGTTCTCTGTCCTCGCACCCATCAAGCAATGGAACACAAGATACAAGTAAAGTGCTACAAACCCTTCAGTCAAAGCTGGATCAAGAAGTAACCTCACATCCCTTTTAAGGGAATTTTTTTTTTCCATAGAAATTCTGGTTAAAAAACAGGAAAATGTTTAAAGATGGAAATTTTGGTATGAGCCCCTCTTATGATAATTAGTTCCAGTAACTCAATAAGATACAATTTACAATTTGTGACAATGAAACAGTATAATAAAGCTTAAATTTTAAACATATCAGCTATTGCCCCTAGTACAGCAAAAATAAAATTGCATGAATTTAAATTAAATTTTTCATAATATATAACATATATATATCCTACCTATTAAATAAGTAAAATGAAATAAAGGAAAAAGTGTGGGCACAATTTCCTCACAAAGATGAAGAGCAGAAGAAGAGTAAGAAAGTGGGAGAGGAAGTACATTGTAAAACCATACAGGAAAAGATATAGCAGCTATGCAAAATAAACCTTATCCACCTAATAATGCTACTGCTACATAATCCTTAAATATACAATTTTAGTTTGAAGTTGGCGAAATATTTCTTTTTTTCATTTCATACACCCATTTGACCTTTAAAATGTTTGAGATACTTAAACGCCCATTTGAGGGTTTTTAAAATCCTTCCAGCCTTTCTTTTTTATCATCCTTTAACTTAAATCCATTATAATTTGTTGATCAGATCAAAAACGCTCATGCGGCGGAATACCGTTTCAATGGAGAGGTGAAGTACCTGAGAGAAACCTTACATAAACAAGAGTTGGAGCTTGAGAAATTGCGCGCCCAACGTGAGGAGATCCTGGACCAGCAAAAGCAAGCACAGACAGACAAAGTTCACACCTTGGAGACTCAAGTGGATAGTCTAACTTATCAGAATCAGTTTAAAGTACGAAATATTACTTGTGCTCATAATTTATGATGAAATATTAAACTGCATTTAACACACCAGACTTTCAGTCTCATCATGCATGCCAAACTTGTGGGATAAAAAAAACTGTACAAAAAGTCCCAAAAACTGTATCACATCAGGAAAAGCTGTACAGAAAAGTTAAAAAAAAAGAATAATTTATAACATTTTCATCTTAATTTTTTGTTCATGCATTTAAAACATTGATAAAAAGTCTCCCCTTGGCTTCGCTGTGTGCATATTTAAATTATTCATAACCATAAATAGATCAATTGCACTTTTCAATGAAAATAGTATGTTAAAAGTCCTATTTTGTCAAATTTTGAGTTTTTTCACTGGTCAAGGGCAAATGGATGGATGATGAATTTGAAAGCAATTTATATATAATTAGTTGCTTTGTTTTGTAGTTATAGAAAATCCTGTATTTAATTTAACGAAGTAATTTTGTATGCCTTGACAAAGTTTTTGAGATTAACTTCAACTTTTAACCTCATTTTCACTGTACTGGAGGGATCAATGAGATTAACTTCAACTTTTAACCTCATTTTCACCGTACTGGAGGGGTTAAGCCATGCCGTTATAATAAATAAGAATCATGGCTGATGCTTGTCATTGATTGATGGTCATATTAGAGATATTAATTATTCAATATTGATTCAAGAAAACTTCCTAACACTGCAATTCTTTTGTTTAGCATCACACATACGGATTGGTAATTAGGGTTTACAACTCCCCAGGCAGTTACACCATATTACACTGTCTTAGTATTAATGACTGATATCAATGAAACATCTCTGTTTCTAAATTTAGATGGCCTAAACGATCCTCAACTTGGTCATGTTGAATAGACAAATGGGATTTAACCTTTTTGGTTTTCCAATGTTAAATTTATGACCATACCGGTTTTGAACGTGTGTCTTTGTTAACAAATATTCCTTTTCTAAATCCAATGAAAAACTGTTTACAAGCAAATTAAAAACTGTACAAAGTATGGGCAAACCATACAGGTTGGCATATATCCAATCTGTTAGCTGTCCTTGCCAAATAGGGCAATAACTTCAAATTTTTAATTCTATTTATGTGATTACAAAGTCTTTGGCTTCCACAAAGAAAATAAATCTAAATCTTTGAACTAAAACATGTCATCACATTTTGAAATAAAAAATCTAGATCCATAGTTTGAGATCTGATTAACTTATCCCAATGTGGTGGTGTATTGGTAAAATCCTGGTCTGACACAATTTGGACCAGGGTCTGATTCAGTTGCTTGCCTCAAGCCATCTCCATTTTTATATTTACAACTTTTATAAAGTAATTTATATATAAAGGTACATCCCCCTTGAAATTAAATAGTAGCAAAAAGATAAATATACTGTAATTCAAAAACTGTCATGCATTGATGGAAAACCCTCTCATTTTGTCAATTTTGAACTGTTATTTTTAATAATAATAATAATCACTACAGTTAATTGACTTTTTATATATTTTGATGAATCATTTAAAGTTGATCAATCATATAAAGAATTCTATTTTGACACTTAAGATATTAAGTTCATACTGCATGCATCGCAAGTTTATAGCTACTTTTGATCAAATTAACAGGACAGAGAGATTCAAGAGATTAGAAATAAGTTTGTGACCATGCAGCAGAAGTTGCGTAGGTTGGAGCTCCAGCAACAGAAAAGTCATCAAGTGCCAACTGGCAGCCAAGCCATCACACTTCAGTCGCAATCTCCAGAGAAATCAACCCCCAAAAAGGTAAGGCCCACTTTCATCATGCAAACGAGTTGTAATTAATGTATCCTGAACTGCAACAATGGTGAAAGAAAATAGTCTGTTCTGACGTCTATTGTAAAATTATAGTAAAATCAAATATACAAGCACACTTATCTTTCAATTAAATCAATTAGAAATAACTTTATTTTAAAATTTTGTAATAACTTATTATATTATATTTCAGTGTCTTCATTGTAGATGTCAAGTATCGAGATAAAATTTCAATTAAGTGAAACATATCTTATGCTTAGAGTACATTAAGATGTAGTTTTATTTTCACTAAATATTCTATCCAGGTCCTTGTCCGTCCATCTCCTCCCAGCAAACAGCAACAGAAACTTCTTGAAGAAATTCCACTGTCACAGCGTCAGGCCTTCCCCACAAGGCTTACTTTCATGGAAAAGGTGACCTGCTTTTTTTAAGATTAGTGACAGTGCTTGTAAATCACTGGCAAAATACACAGCTTAAAAAAGATAAACATTAAACAAAATTTTGTTTAAACAAAAATTAAAATGAATTGCTGTCATTTATTAATAAGCCCATTAACGGGTGAGCCTAAAGCGCCATTGAGGGCATGAGTTTCCCAACAGAGAATAAAAATAGCTTTTTAAATGGAGCCTGAATATCGGTTTGGTAGTTCTTTTAGAATTTTGCAAAAATCTTGAGAATCCACAATGTCACAGTCCTGCTATGAACTAGATGACCTGTGTGTGTAGAGTTAATATCTACTCAATGACCCATGTCCTGTTAGCCCTTACATTTATTACATTGTATTGTAACCTATGAGAGAGTCATGTTTCAAGCCATCTTAAATTATTTCATTCTGTCTGGTATATAGTCGTCAGTACAGATGACTGCAAAACCTTCTGCTTCAAGTGGTGGCATTGATCAAGCATCAACAGGTACATAAAAATCAAGGGTTAGACTCTTCGTTGGATCTAAAACAAAAGTTTTACTTCATAATTGTCTTTGGCAAGACTTTATAACAACATTTATAAAAAAAAAATAACTTAACAATTTAAATCAAAATATTTTGATAATGTCATCAGCATTTTAAAGATCACCCTGATATTTGAATTGGAGACCGTATAGTCATAATGCATGACATTGTTTATTCATACCTTGTGGTTCAAATGGCTTAACTATTGTTAGAAAGATAACAGGTTTTTATATTTTACTCCAGGTCATGAAGGGGCAACAAGTTTAACAAAAACAGCAAAACAATCAGTTCGCCCAAGAAGGTTACCTTTAAACATTGGAGCAAGCCATGGTGAGCTTCTAAATCATTCCTCTTTTTTATAAAAATTAATCTTGTGGTAACTTTGCAGACTTATTTATTTATAAACCATAACATGTCAGTTCAGTTCTTAAACATCAATCACTTAAAAGAAAATTCATTTTTGTTTCATGCTGAAAAAAATATTTTAAAACACACAGTTATACAAATATTTCATTGAAGTACTTTTGTGTCAATTTGTTGACTTTTTTAAAATAAAAATATAATTTGCTTTATTTTATACAGTTAACTTTAAATGCCCAGACAAAGCATTTTAAAGAATTAAAAAATTTTTTTTGTTGGAATCCATGTAAAAAATAAAAATCATAACAAATAATTTTTAAACAAACCAAGCCTTGCTCTATGGTGATTGTTGGGCCATTCCATTGTTGACTTTTAAATGATTATTGTGGAGGCAGAGTTGTTTTTATACTCATATCGACGGAACATGGCCACTTTCCTCAGAGGGAAGGTATTTGCTGCATTGGGGGCTGAGCACCCTGGGTTCTTTTCTGGAGCTGGACAGTATATGTGCGCGCGCGCACCCCCCCCCCTACCCCCTTGTAATCTCATTAAGCAAGTTTTGATATATCATCTTATATTTGTCATATTAAAACCACAAGAGATGTTATGTAGATCCAACTTCTCATTGCAGTCAAAGGGAACTTGAGAGGCTGTCATATTGTACAACATCTTCTCCAGACTTGCGGGGCAAGCTGTGATAGCATTGAGGGGCCAGAGGAAAACCAGTGTTGCCATGGGCTGACAAGCCTGTTGAACACAGCATCCACCTCCTTGATACTCAACAACCTGTCGTACCTCAGAGAGAAAGAATCTGGTTTGCTTTCGCCAGCTCAAATTAAAAGGTTTTCCTTTCTTTCTAAACACTAACACTCAAAATGGGGAAGATTTGAATTTTCTTATACAGTCAAAAGAGAATTTAAAGGTTAAACAAATTTTATGAAAATCAGTTTTTAGTTGAAAGTTAAGATTCTATTTCCATGTCAGACATTTACTGAAATTTTCATTTCTTAACAGTAAATTTTTGTGATTAATGTACATGGTTCCCCATAGATACTTTAATATATTAATTAATGAAGATATGTGAAAAATTGTCAGCCTTTATTGATGAAGAGTGCAAGGAAACACTTTTATGTATAGTCATTTGTGAATCTGCAGTAAACATATTAAAAGAAAGACCTATTCACAATTTAATTTTATCCTTTTTATTTAGCACCCAGCTTTTTTGTTCTTGTGCTCACAACAAAATTTGGCAATTAGTGAATAAGTGTTAAAGAGGTCTACATTTCTAAATAATTATAATTCTGTTGTAGCATGTTTTTTAAGAACAAAAAATATTTGTTTCAATTCCATTTTTTTTACACATTAAAGATATGTATTTCTGAGACTATTTTATTCACTTTTGTCTTTTGAGACAGGTCAATATTTATATTTATGACCATTGTTTGTTTTAGGAGAGGACAGAAAACACCAGATTTGAATAAAGGTTTGGTACAGATTGTCAACAAAGAACATTTTCTGATGGCCATTGAAGGCTTATCATTATTGCTGGAAGAGGAAAGTAATTGTTTTGAAAAGACAAATGAAGGTAAGCATTTGAATTTAAGCCGTGATATTCTTCGTAAGCTTTAGTGCGCAAAGAAAATTTTACACAAGGTAAGTTGCTCTGTCTAAAAGGTGTCATTTGAATCGATGAATATTTTATATTACTTTTGAAAATTAAAAAAAAAAAGCCAAGTTACCTGACTACGGCCTAATCCACTTAAACAAAAACTTGCCCTCTGGCCTAACCTACTAAAATGAAAACTTGCCCTCCTGCTTGACCTACTTGAACAAAAACTTGCCAACCGGTTTGATCTACTTATTAAAATACTTGCCCTGCAGCCTAACATACTACCCTCATTCATAACCTAATATTAAAATTATAGTCCACACTACACTCTTGTACACTCAGGTACACACAATGGATACAAGTTCGTCATGGATCCTTTTGTTTGTAAAATAATGGCTGTGCAAGAACTCACTATGTCACCACCCTGTCTGTCCCAGAAAGATAAGTCTCCGACCCAGCAAAAGCCGACCACCTCAGAGACATCCATTAAATCAAACCTTGAGAGCTCCCACAGTATGAAAGATCCCAGCTCATGCTATGAGACCTGGACTATCGAACAAACTCCTGTGATATCAGCACTGGTGAAACTCATACCACTGGTCACGGACTACATTCAGCACTATGTGAAACTCATCCAAACCACTCTAATGAAAGGGCCTGTGCTCCCGACACAATCTTTGAATGCCAGCTACATCTCTTCCTCCAGCATGGAAACCCTGCAGAGCTTTTCAAGTAGCATGGAGTCCACTCCAAAATCTCTCAGCAGCTACATGCAGTTTTTGTACGAGGGCAAGGCCTATGCAAGGAGTATGGAGATGTTTGCAGATTCCGCCTTGCGTATTGTCTCACTGCTGGTCCAGCTTTGCCCAGAGGTTGGCCAGATTATTGTCAGAAAAAGTTTCTTTAGGCCTGTTGTTGGCACAAGTGTCAACACGACTAGCTGTTCTTCCAACGGTGAAATGGATGCTGACCTACCAGCAAAGGTTAGCATTTAAAAAAACTAGATTTATGAGAGTATGTTTGTTAAAGTTTGATAATCTCGATGCAATGAATTTTATTTTTTATTTATTTTTTTCTTTATTGCAATTGAAAATAAATTTTTCTATTTCCTTTGTTTTATTGAAATGTTGAAAATCACATTAGCAAGTTAACAGGTTAGCAAGCATGGAAACGTTTCGCCATGTTTTATATGAGTAGATTACAGAGCAAGGTGTTCACAATAATTTTAATCTTGATCAGCCAGTGACAGTCCAATAAGTACTGTCTAGTTTAAGATGTCTGTTTCATTCCCTTCATCATTAATTTTCTTCTTTATTTATATTTAAATCTTGGTTCCTCCTTTAAATCAAATATTACATCTTAAAATATAGCCAGGCAAGATTTTTTTCTTCTCAGATTGGATGAGAATTAAAACAACATAGATGACAATGTTGTTGTTAATTGCTTATGAATTATTATGAGCTGTTTTGTAAGGAAGAACTCTTTAAAATAATCTCATTTTCCCCAAAAGTAGTCAAATTAAAGCAAACGTCAGATATTAAAACTGAAGTGCCTTGAACTTATTTTTCATGTTTTCAATAATTTTTTTTAACAAAATGTTTACGCTTTTACTTTTGACCACCCAGGAGTATAGAGTAAAAAATTAATTTGTCAATGTTTTATTTAGGCCTCGTCATCTGGGGCAGATGGTGATGATGAACACAGTTCGGCTTCTGAGATCAGGGTTATTGTTAATGGTCGTAGTCCACTTGTGTCCATACCAAGGCTGGTGTCTGGCTCCAGTCTACTGCATCTGGTCATCAGACTTGCTGCACAAGATGTAGAGGTAGGTCAAATGTATCTTTATGATCTCAAGGATGTAATAATGCCTCAAGTCATATCTTTTATGAGGCAGATGTTGCATTGTTCAGGCACTGTCAGTTAGATTATGCTCTGAAAACTCAATGGTCTAAATAAAATGTTTATTAACTACAGTGCTGATGAAATCTGTCTTAAATATATTACTTATCCAACCATGCTGGTATTGCTGATACAAGTGTTAAGTTATGCCACAATGACTGGGAATACCACTACATGTATTAATTATTTTCAGTGTATCTTGAGAGTTTGGCAACTCCATTCAATAAAAAGTTCACTGGACCAAACATAGTCTTTCTGCCGTTTCAGTCATCTGGCAGCTGTAATATATTTACTTTCCCATTTATATAGCCTTAAACCTGTCTTAGACACGGCTGCCCATTAACGTATCAGTGCATGGTGAGGGAGGCTCCCCACAGGTTCTCTCCCCAACTTAATTAGCCCTCCCCTAAAGACCCTACTCTAATGATAAATTGCATTAAGTAATCCAGTATGATCTGAGGAGAAACTTTATCCCATCTTCAATATATATTTTAAAAGAATATGAAGCATCAGGTATGATAACACTTATTTGAAACAAAACAACAAAAGTGTTGGCTAAAAGCCTTCATGGACATTTTGTTAGAAAGGGAAAAGGTAAAGCTATTCAGGGATCTTTTTTGTTTTCTTAAACAGAATACCCAGTCAAGTCCAGCTATAATTAACCAAGCGCTCCTCACATTAAAAGATCTGGTTCAGTGTTGTACTTTTCAGCAAATGTCAAAGTAAGCTTCGTAGTTAAAAATAATAAAATATGTATACAAATAAATCTTATCATAATCGTGTTCATTAAAAATAGGTATTTCTTTGATAAATTATTACCCCAACAATTTTTTTTATGTTATCCAATATATGATTTTTGAAGTTTAATTTAAAAAAAAAAAAATGAAAAATTGAAAGTATTTTTTTTTCTAGTGTTACATAAGTAGCTCTATGTGGATCATATTTGTATTACACTAAATGTATTGGAAATCTTAAAACAATTTTGTTTTCAGATTCTTTAGAGAGCAATTCAAATTATAAAAAAATTTAAGTATGTTATTTTAAAAAGAAAATATAACTTTAAGTTCTAAGAATCTAATATTGAATCTTAAGTTCATTTCTTGAACCCTCGAACTGTGGCATGCATCATTCTGTGGTGTGGGAGCTTTTCAGAGCTTTTTGAGTGCCTTTTGAAATTGCAAACTGGGACCACAGCTAAAACCAAGTATAAAACACAAAATCTCAGGCAAAAAAAAAAAGTTATTATTGACTAGTAAAGATTTAAAAAGGAACCGTGGAACTGATTTGGGTTGTTTACCTATAAAATTTATTAGTTCTGATCTATAGGCCTAATCTGTAGCTTCTGTGACTAAAATTCAGTCAGTCCTTGTCCAACCTGGCTTTAAGTCTAACAATAGGCCTACTTCAGTATCACTAAGACTAGAAAAAGATTAACAAGAAGAAGAATCTCAACTGATATCATCATGGGGAATGTTAAAATCATCATCAGTATCACTTGAATCCTCTCCTAAAAAGCTTTCAAAAATAATTATATTAGTTCTTGCGCTGAAGGCCCAGCTATGGCTTCAACCATTTTAGCTTTTAAAAAAACAGCAATATAAAACTCCACTTAAAAATATTTATTGTTACGTTATCAAAAAACAGCTTGAACCGGAAGATGATTTATTTATTAATAAAAGGAAGTGGCTATAATTCTGGTTAAATATTGGATTGGAAGTTGCTATTGGACCGTGTTTTTAGTTGACCTATTTTTTCGGCTACCACCACACAGAACGAGATCAGAACAGATCGGCCAGTTCAAGTGATAAAATATGATTTTGATTTCAACTGAATTTTAGATTAAACCATTTTTTTTATATATATTAAAAGTTACATTCTTGAAACATCACTCCTGTTATCTTGGTTATCCTGCACTCCCTTAGCCCCAGTGTATTGTGTGATTTAAACTTAAGTTTGTTCTAATGTCAAGGCTAATTATGAAATCAAATTTTTAAAAATTTTATTTCCATAATTAAATCTAGTAGCTTATTTGTTTGGACAGATATCAGACGTACCTATACAATATGTACATTCATTACCTACATGTCAATGCTTACATATGGTTTTTTTAAATATAGTTTTGCAAAACTACAAGCTTGCCATAATTACATCAATAATTTATTCTCAGTCTCCTATCCTCAGGTTTGAGATAATCATCACCCAGGGTCTTCTCACCACCTGCTTGAAGCAGACCAAGCATTCGTCCATCCATTTCTCTGCCTTAAGTCTCCTTACTTCACTGGCAAAGTGTGAGAAGCTACTTGCCAAATTTTGTACAGAAACTGGTGAGTTAAACATTTTTTTTTCTTCTTGAAAGAAAAGAAAAACAAGTTTTGAAGGATTATATATTTTAATGCCTCGGACCAAATTGTTATGAGTGGGTTGTGTTTAAAAACAAAAAGAAATATATGATGGATATTAATATTCATGAACTTAGTGAAGAAACTACACTCATCCTATCTTTTATGATGTGCTTGTACATTGCTAAAATTTAATTGTCATGAAACCCTGAATTTATCAAACAGAATTTTACAGCATGTTGCTAGAAATTAGGCAGACTGAATTTTGGGGAAGGTACATTTTCGCTCCTGTTTCATAAATGCCATGAGGCTGTGAAAAATTTTCACCAAGAGACACACCACCAAAAAAATATTTTTATGCTTATAAAGTGATGTGAATTGAATTTAGATTTGTCTGCCATTATTCTTATTACCGGTATTAATGTAACAAGGAGAAAATTGCTTTAGATTTGTTGTAGTACATAGCATAGGAGATAATCTAATTCACGCCCCTAGGCTAGGGCCAGGAATGAACCTTGCTGTTCCTTCATTGTCCAAAGCATTTTCAAAACACAAGCATAATCCCTTACACTATCATTCACCTTATCCCAAAGTTTCTTAGAATTGTTAGATTCTCCCTTTAGAAACACTTCCATGTTTGATTTGATTAACTTCTGGTCTAAGTCTGCTAAGCCAAGTTGTTGATTTTGTTCTCTGTTGTCTTTATTGCTTTTGCTGATGAAGGCTTTCCACCCGAAATGTTCTTTTGTCATTATTCAGGCTTTCACATAGCATGTCCTTACTATTTAATTCACACGGCTTGACCGCAGTCTCCACTATATTAGCCAGCTCAAAGACGTGAAGAAACCGATGACCTATGAACTGAAGAGAGACACTTAATTCTGGACGTCTTATTGACAGTTTAATCATACAAACAAAAGAAAAGAATAACACTATATTTTTCTCAAGCAAAAATCAGTTCTTTATACTTGTGTTTCAATGGCCAACAGTATTCATGGACACTGTCATAAATTTATCAACCCTCATTTTACTTTAGAAACTTATGCTTGTCTGGATTTAATGGGGGATTTATAATTTTTTTCTTTGAGTCCACCAGTGAGCTACTTTATTTGAAATTTCTGTACTTCAAAGTGTTGTTACCAATACAAGCAAAAAAACTTTAACTAAGGTTGCCATGAGATGATCCAACCATTGTTTGATCCTCAGATAGCTGTCCCTTGTACCTCATGCATAGAATCTGCTCAACAAAGGGAAAAGGTTTCACGCCCACAGAAATGATGGGCTATTATCAACAGGTGAGCATGGACTTTAATAGGGCTTGTTAAATAAGTTTTACCTTTTTTATCATAATTATGGGATCACAGTGGGAACAACAAGATCTGTCAAAGTTATCAAACATATTAAAACAAATCATACAATAACTCAAATACAATCACGCGTTTCCAATGTATTTTAACCAGCATTCAACAGCATATTTATGATCTCAAAATTAAATAATGCGCTACAAATTTTTCAAGAATGTGTGAAATGGTAACCGAAAATATTTACAGTTTGATTCTTTTCTTGGGGCGCTGCGGTAAATTAAAAAAAAAAAGAAATTAAATGATCAAATACTAAAAATTTGATTTTCTGTTAATGAAATTATTTAAATTGTACCGTACCTATGTTAAAACATCACATTATTAAAGATTGTACTTAATGTTAAAACATCAGATTATTATAATAAAACACTGTACCTAATGTTAAAATCTCACATTATTAAACACTGTACCTAATTTCAAAACATCACATTATTAAACACTGTACCTAATTTTAAAACATAACATTATTAAACATTGTAACTAATGTTTAGGATAAAATTACAAATCAGCCCTACTTTTAATAACTATAAAATGAAATGTTATTAGTCATCATATTTGTTCATTGTTTCAGTACATTGTGTGTATTTCAAGCATCTTAGCTGACCACAGGTCGGGGCTCAAACTGCTGCTGACAAACAAATGCCTTTGTACTGATGAGGTAACACTGGATATGAATCAAATATTTTTTAATGTAATGTAGAATGATTTTCACACTAAGTAGTGAACCCCTATTTAATTTATAGGATCATAAATGAAGGACTGCCTTCTAGCTGTCTGAAGGACATAGTGGAACAAGGTATGACGAAAGCTTGAAATATAAAGACAGGACAATAAAAGTAGAACGTTTCGCCTAAGAATCTACCTTAGCAGAAATGAGGAATTAATAAACAATAAGAATTAGAAAGAACTTAACTTCTGGCAAAAACATTAATGGCGAACACTAAGTTTTTGCAATACTTTCTATTTTTTTTTATAGTTCCTTAATTTGTTTGCTGACAATTGTTCATTGATGAGTTTGGAACACATTATGATTACGGGCTTGAATATTTTTTAGAGACATGCACATGCTGTATCTAACTTTGGAAAATCACATTAACATGCTTTGCAAGGGGATTTTTCTAGAGCTTTGCAGAATTAGTCATATCAAACCTTTTTTAACGTTTCATGCATCAAAGAGGCTGGTGTCCGCATTCGTGCTATCGTGCATGGACTACTGCAATGCTCTCATGTAGGGTCTTCAAGCTATGCACCTGGATATAATTATAAAAGCACAGAATAATGTGGCTCGTATTGTTCTGCGCAAAAGCAAATTTGACCATGCTAAAACACTTCTGAGAGAGCTGCATTGGCTGCTGGTCCGCGCCCACATAGAGTACAAAATTGCAACCCTGTGCTACCACTGCTTGCATGACCTTTCGCGTCCTATTTCAAAGCCATCATGACGCCTTATTTACACGCTAGATCACTCCGTTCATCCGATAGGGGAAACTCTGGATACCGTGAGTACGCCTTCAGACCTACGGAAGGTGCACTTTTGCTTTCTCAAGAATCTGGAACGCCCTTCCTGTCGCTCTCAGAAACAGCCAGACTCTGCAGTCTTTCAAAATTAAGTTGAAAACACATCTTTTTCGAACTCACCTGTTGTCGTGATGTAGTCCTTGTTTCCAGCTTGCTCATATTCCTCGATGTAGATTTTGTATTGTTTCTTTTTGTATTTTATTTGTGGAAAAATATAAATTGTCATATATGGTTGACTTTGTACTGTGCTTCGAGCCTTAATTGAAGGGATGAAGCGTGTTTTTGAAATGAGCTTTATTATTATTATTATTATTTATCTCTCCTCACCAGCTTGTTGTGGCTGTCATTCTGGCCCTGCGTGAGGTCTTGCTCTACTACAAAAGTATCCGCGGTCCCAGTGACCCCTCCAAATTTCTGCTCAACATTCTGGCCCAGGGGGCCAACCTCCTCCACACACTGGCCCAGGGGGACATCATGTTTGTGCTGCATCACTCACCCGCTCAGCTGTTGTATGTCAGGCTGGTATCTGAACTGGGCTGCATACTCAAGGAAAACAAGGAAGACTTTGAGTATCAATGTAAGCATTGCATGAGTTCCCAGTTGGTGTTCTTTCATTTGTTGTCCACTTTTTCTTTTATGATTATTTTAATGAACAGTTTTTAAACTGTAGACTTTGCTATTCTGCTCTGTTTCACAATAATTATCCACACAGCACTTTTAGTAAATTAATTAGAAGCTTTATTTTTTCACGAGAATTAAATAAATGAATACAGAAAATCTAGATAAATAAAAGAAAAAAAATTAGCATTCTTGTTTTATTATAGCAACTAATAATATTATATTGTGAGCTGCTAAAGGTGTAATGCCAAATTAAACAATTTTGTTGCAATAAAAAATTATTAAAGTTCAGAGTACATACAACGGCCTAGGGGTTTGCCAAAATGAGATAACCAATGATCAAGATAAATGAAAACCAATATGGCGGCAATATATGATCATGTTATTTAGAGCAAATTTCAAATAAAAAAATAAGACCAGAATCAACTATTAAGCTTTAGTACTTTTTGAGCTACCGGTACGAATTTTTAAAGTACAAGTTTGTTTGGTATTTTCTACTATGGACGAAGCCTCCACATTTTGTGATCTCATTCTGCTGATCGTGTCATGCGCAATGACTATATAGTTTATATAAGGCAATGCATCCCCTCATTACTAAAATACTATTTAGGGACTACTTATTTTGAGCTTTCAACTTTGGCACATGAATATTTAATTAAAGATTTCCCTGACAAATTGTTTAATAGTTTTTGCACAAAGCAAACTCGTATGAATGAAACTCTGACATAGTACCATGGCATCGCCATTCTCTAAGTGACCGTGAATGGCTGCCCATGACAAAGTTTTGCACTCTGCAAATTATGATCATTTATAATGTGAACTCTACCGGGTTTTTTAACCTCAAATTAATACATATTTATTTAAATTGCTTCTAGGTTCATACTAAAACACAAGTCCTGTATTTTGAGAAATAGATAATTATTTTTAATGATGCAAAACTTGTTAATTTGTTGTTTGCTATTTCTTCTTGCGGAGTTCAAGAACCGGTGATTGGTCATGGGGATCGAGATAACCGAGGTTAAGTGGCAAATTTGGCCCCCTTTTGTGCTCGAGATATGAGGGTTCAGTGAAATAAAAGAATAGACATAACAGAGGAGAAAATGCTACAACAAAGAATTTGGTGGTTCCACGCCAAAAATGTCGACTTAACAGGGTGGGCGAGTTGACCAAGGTCGAGATAAGCGGATTCAACTGTATTAAACTTTCTGCTCTTTTTTTTTTGGTTCTAATTTGGACAAAATAAAGATAATTAAATGGCCAGGTGGGGAAAATAAATTGGTAAAGTTTTAAATTTTAATATCACATTTTGAACTTTATTTCACAACTGTTTTTTTCCCCCTGAGCCAAGTGGTTTATTTATTTCTTCTCTCAAAGTGTCTGCACTGGAGGAACTTTGTGACTTTGATCCTGATCGGTCGCAAGAGATGGAGGATGGTGAGGACCAAATGGAAACCTGATTGGACATGAATTATTTGCAGTCTAACCATACGAGGGCACACATGACGCATGGTGTGTTTGCAGAGTCTGTATGGCAGTTGGTACACAATAAACAGATCCGTTATTGCAGCTGTGTTCACGCCTTATGAGAATTACACGTCGATGAAACTTATTGTACATTCCTTTGAGAGGTTTTCATGTTTAAGATTTTGAACTTAAAAGAAATGTACATTTAATGATGTATTCAATTTAATGTAAATAATATAATGTCTATAGGTTATGTTTGTATTAATTATATGAAAATATTCAATGATTAAAAGATTTCCAAAACAAGACTATATGATATTTGTTTGTGACCACTGTCCGGTAGCTCATGTAGCAGATTATCGTGTAGCTTAAAATGCTACCGTATATATATCAACTGTACAAAGACAAAACAAAAAGACCTCATCATCAATGCTTTAATATTTCAAATATTATATTTTAATCCTTTTAATTAAATGAGTGGGAGCTGAAAGACCTAATTAAGTGACTAGTAGCTGAAAGACCTTTTTTTGTATGTACTCAGAACTTAAATAACTATTTATCAATTTCAAATTTTTTTATTTTTATGGCACACGTTGATTGAAGTTGTAAATCTTGTCTCAGGTTCAGGTAAAACAAAATACTATAATATTTAAAAGTTAATATTTTTAATTCAAAGTATGATATTGTACATCAGTGTTAAAAAGACATAAATATTTTTATAATAAATTTTTGGGATTGTTAATTTTGTCCATGGCTATGAACAATTTTTGTTTGTAGTTCACTATTTAATCATTATAGTAGGATCTGATGGAAATGTCTATAGTAGGATCTGATGGAAAAGCTTATAGTAGGATCTGATGGAAAAGCTTATAGTAGGATCTGATGGAAATGTCTATAGAAGGATCTGATGGAAATGTCTATAGTAGGATCTGATGGAAATGTCTATAGAAGGATCTGATGGAAATGTCTATAGTAGGATCTGATGGAAATGTCTATAGAAGGATCTGATGGAAATGTCTATAGTAGGATTTGATGGAAATGTCTATAGTAGGATCTGATAGAAATGTCTATAGAAGGATCTGATGGAAATGTCTATAGTAGGATCTGATGGAAATGTCCATTGAAGGATCTGATGGAAATGTCTATAGTAGGATCTGATGGAAATGTCTATTGAAGGATCTGATGGAAATGTCTATAGTAGGATCTGATGGAAATGTCCATTGAAGGATCTGATGGAAATGTCTATAGTAGGATCTGATGGAAATGTCTATAGTAGGATCTGATGGAAATGTCTATAGAAGGATCTGATGGAAAAGCTTATAGTAGGATCTGACCGAAATGTCTATTTAACAATTGATGAGATTTGTGTGAAGACATGTAAGAAGTATGCCTCCAAAAGTCAAGTGCAATTTTTTGATCTAATGCGATTTAATTTTTAAAATAATAATTGTTACTGAAAGGGAACTGCAACAGAAAAAGCCTTAATGACTTGATGATTGAATGAATTGATGTATTAATGACTTAATGGTGTGTTAAAAGCATAAAAACTTATATGTAATAAATATTTTAATAAAATGTTTGAAATGTTTATTGTGTGAAATTAGCAAAGAATTATATGGCAGATAAAACAGGAATAAAACTGTACAATGCGAAATTTGTTGAACATACAATGGTAAGATGTTAATATGTGAATAGAGAAAAAGATATCTCTAATGAACAAAGATTTCTCCACAGAGAATATCCAAAAAAAAACTAAAAAACAGGTGTCCACCTCCGCCAGAGAAGAATTACTGGTTTGCCATCTTTACTGCGGAAAAGCTTCCATATAACAGTCAAGTAATTAAAAGTCAAGTAATAGAGGATATCTGTTATTTACAAAAACAATTTCTCCACACCAACTCTGCTCTCAAATGAGGCAAATCTAGTCATAGTATGCTGACTTTGTAAAATAATCTATTCCCTTGGCTCTATTACTCTAAACTCTATTGATTAAATTTTAGATGTGATAATATTGAGTTATAACTTTGAAAAGCTTTAGTTTAATTTATTTTAATTTATGAATTTTCTGAAGAGAATAATTTAAATTTTAGTTTGTGCTTACTGTAAATCAGTGGCTGTCAACATTTTATAATTTAAAACCATATTTTCAGGATAATTGCTAAGCAAATGCTTTAGATAGTTTAATTGATATAGTGACTAACTTCACTTGTCAATTATTATTTATGCGAATGTTGAGCTTAGTAAAGTAATATCCATTTTTCAATGCCTAATTAGAGTCTCTTAGCAGTAACTTCATGGTTTAAATTTCTATGCTATTTCTTTGCGTTGACCACTATCCTTCAAATAAAATTCTGAGAATGCAGTAAAGAGCTTCTTCACTACTGTACACAGCAGCCAAAACTGTTGGTGCCATTTCTTAAACATAGAGTTTCACTTTACTTTATGTATGGTCTCTACCCTTGTTTGATGTCTGCCGTCTGATTTTTCAAATATGCAGTATCAAGAAGAACTTGCAGAAATGCAAAATGTTGAGTCAGTTAAAACTTTCTTAGATATGGCTTTGTGGGGAAACAGAAGTCAAAGATCCAAATTCAAACAAATGTGCAAGAAAACTACCGCTTCCATCTTCATATTTAGCTGTATGTAGATTTGGTGCCAAAAATGATTTGTTGCAAAAAAAAAAAGTTTTAAAAATAAATCGGTTGTATATAACACAACGAGAGATTTGAGACTGAAGCTAACTAAATTGGAAGCTAACATAAAATCAGCAAGCTCAAACATCTCACTAAATTTAAATAATAAATAATTACAAATAATTAAAATAATTGAGAAACATCTTTCTTTAAAATTATTTCGTACTTGAATTTCAGTTCTCCATTTAATGTGTTGAAAATTTACTTACTATGTTTCCTCACCAATTTCCTGGGGATTTTTTCCTAAAAACTATCATTTAAGTTTCGTCAATGAACAACCCTATTTTTGAATATTAAAAATTATGTATACGATACAGGTGGGGGGCACGGGGGGGAGGGGGGCTTAAGAATTTTAGAAAGGCTTAGGTTGGGCATGGCACAAAAAGGGCTGGGAGACACTGGTCTAGCCAATCGCAAAGAGTTAAGGCGATGAACCAAAGGGAAGGCTTGGCCGCTTAGGTAATTTCTGCTACGCGTGAACTCCTTTAGATGGCGGGACACGTAGCATGTTATACATGAATTACGTTTTAGAGGACAACAAGAGGAACATATTCTATGGTAATGACTGCCAGTGCCATTGACATAAAATAAGATAAAAACGATTTCAAATCAGAGCAGCGGGTTTTGCTCTTTAAAGTTCCGCATTTCCCCCAAACATTCTCAAATCATTCACTATAGGCGATCTTAATCTGCCGTTCGTCATTCGCTATAGGCGATCTTAATCTGCCGTTTGTCATTCGCTATAGGCGATCTTAATCTGCCGTTCGAAAAGTTCTGACATTCTAAAACAGGGATCGGAGAACTCCAAAAGGCATGACGCCAAGATATATTTGTTTAGTTGACATTACCCCTGGTTTGAAAGGAAGAATGTCATAAATAATTAAAATTCGTGATTGTCCATGAATCTATTTGGTAAAAAATACAGGTATTGTGAAAAAATATACAGGTATCATATAAAATAAGAGCGATAAAATAAAAACATAAAATATAATAATAGAACAAAATGGTTTCTCGGAATTTCCATTGACATTTTTTTTTTTTTGAGAAATGATGTTCCACTTTGTGATTTTCACATGAAAGTTGGGAATATAGTTTTTGTGGTCATGCTGTCAATATTGCAGGAAATTCCTTGTTCCTAATGATTATTGGTTATTGCCAAAGGCAACAATCATTGACAGCCTTATGCATGCCCCATGTTTGAAAGCCTGTGCAGCCCTTGGCGTTCTGAACATAAACAGCAGCTTCCAAATGGAATCCAAAGTAAAAATGGAAAACAAGTATAAATGTCAGAAATCGATCAAGTTTTTTTCCATTAAACGTCTAATTTAAATAACAAAGCACGGTGCCGCAGAATCAGGGTGCTGCCAGATAAAGAGCAGAATGCCATAAAAAGTTCTGCTTCAACACAGGGTGCATCTCCAATATGGTACCACCAGAACTGGATGTCATCAGCGCAGGCAGGTTAAAATGAGGTCCAGAGGGAAGCCTTGATGACAGCATTACTTAATCTCACTATTACAACAACTCCAATGACAGCATTACCTGACCTCCCTATTACAAAAAACCTCAATGACAGCATTATCTGACCTCAATATTACAACAACCTCAATGAAGTCATTGAGCATAAAATAATATTGGCGACTAGGCCAACATGACGTGGCGAGCAGGAGCAGAGTGACACCACCAGCAGTGCCGCCTCTGAAGTGGGATCCGACTCTTCGGTACCGGCAAGTGACGCTGTTTTCTTTGGTTGTATGTATTTTAGGTCTTTTAGTTTCTGGTCTCCGAGAAATGGCCCCTTTACAATGAGGTCTAGATTCTTGTGTAGTACGGATTATATTATCACCCACCTGTTAATGAGTGTTACTTGTCAGGGGATTCACATACCTGTTAATTAGTGTTAAAGAGTCAGTGGAGCACCGAGATGTTTGTTATGACTTATGACGTATTGCGTGACGACACGCGATGTTTGGACACACTATTCAGACACGCGATGGTCGGACACACTATTCAGCAAACATGAGAGACACAAGACTGGCGAGTCCTTTTTTTGTGCTTAATTCGGGGGACGTGTTACGTTAGTTCAGCGACGGGGAAGATGGCCTTCTAGAATCCGATCTGGGGGCGTGATGTCGAGTTGCTTGTGGTATGATCTAAACAAGATTATAAGCTTCAAATATGCTTAGTCAAGGTAGACTTGACTTGGCTTGATTTAACTTGGCTTGAGAGATTTAACTTGACGATGCTTGACTTGGCTTGGGATTGAAATGGTCTGGAAGAAGGCCTCATCCCCAAGACATTCTACTAATAACAGTAAATATTGCGACAGTGAACAGTGTAGTCACCGAGCTCCTCTTCTTTGTCAGGAGTTGGTGCAGCAGCGAGCTCCACTTCCGTGTCAGAAGTTGGTGTAGCAGCGAGCTCCATTTCCGTGTCAGAAGTCGGTGTAGCAGCGAGCTCCATTTCCGTGTCAGAAGTTGGTGCAGCAGCGAGCTCCATTTCCGTGTCAGAAGTTGGTGCAGCAGCGAGCTCAACTTCCGTGTCAGAAGTTGGTGCAGCAGCGAGCTCCACTTCCGTGTCAGGAGTTGGTGCAGCAGCGAGCTCCACTTCCGTGTCAGAAGTTGGTGCAGCAGCGAGCTCCACTTCCGTGTCAGGAGTTGGTGCAGCAGCGAGCTCCACTTCCGTGTCAGGAGTTGGTGAAGCAGCGGGATCCTCTCCTGTGTCAGGATTCAGTGCAGCAGCGGACTGTTGTTGTAAACTCAGATTGGATAAATCAGCTGGGCCTCCCTCTTGCTCCACTCTCAAACGTGCACTATAAGGATTAAAAACGAGCACAACTAAATGTTCTGTTTATTTCCGATATCTCTCAAACGTGCTTTTTTTTTCTTTGATATTTTTTTAAGCGTATGTAATATCAAACCACGTAGATCCTAATTTGTTGCTTAAATATGTAGTTTACTTATGCAATTGGAAATAACATTTTACACTGATAATTTTTATAACGGTTGCGTTTCTATGTTTAAATAAAATGTTAGAATCATTATTTTAAAAATGCGAATGACAAATACTTAGACTTATCATACGAATGACCAAATACTTGGACTTACAGTTCCATCTCCAAATTGTTTTTCTCGGCAGACACTGAAAAAAAGAGAAAGTAAGCACAAAGAAAGAGAATTAAAATTACAGACACCACTGCTTTATTAAAAAAAAATATTCAATTATAAAATTAGTTGAAACTGAACATGTTCAGTATGACCTTTAAGTATGACCTTGAAGGTTGTTCATAAGGTGCGTCCGCAAAAAATAAACACAACTTTTATACCACCTCCCCTTTTGTCGACATTTTTCGGCATGTTGCTTACCCCCTGCTCCCAGCTCATTTATTTTTACGCCCCCCCCCCACAAAAAAATAAAAATAAAAATGGCAATCCTCTTCACCCCACCCCCCCTTCCGCACTCCCACCCAATTTACCATTCCTCCATGAGTGGCTGATTTAAAATATCAATAACGCTATTTCAAAACTGAGATTGTCAAATTATTTTTGGAAATAAAAACAAAAAAACAAAAAAAAACAAAACAAATGTAACCCTCTTAATGAATGGGCTGATCCATCGGCACAAAGTGAAGTAGCAAAAATATACCGCTGTCCGATCTATCGGCCGGATCTATAAAGTCTCGAGATTGGCTGGCTGGTCTTCGTAACAGCTAATCAAATTGATTCTTACAAATTCCTTGACATCGAGCCATTTTAATTGTGGCCTTCGTTTCTTGTTTACCAGTTTTTATTGTGTTCGGGAATTTTTGTGTGTGCTGCAAGTAACATGGTAAAAGTCCAAAATGTCTGACATTGGCACCAAACAAACGATCCTTAGTGACTTTGATATTTTAGCAGTGAATCTGACATTGATGAAAAAAGTAATGAAGACGATCAATATAATGTTGTTCAGGAAAATTGTGAACCCCTGGTTTAGTATCAAGGGTCCTCAACTGGATAGAGATGACCCCCCTAACAAAAAATATAGGTCCTATATATATATATATATATATGCCTTAAGGCATAAGCACCCCAGTAAAGTACTTTATACTATGTTTACAATAAATATCATTCAAAATGTTTTTGAGAGTGACCAGTTTGTATGCAGACAATTTTCTCAGTAACACTTTGTTACTTACAAGCGCGGGGCCCTTACAAGCGCGGGGACTTTATAAGCGCGGGACCTTTACAAGCGCGAGACCCTTACAAGCGTGGGGCCCTTACAAGCGCGGGGTTATTACAAGCGCGGGGCCTTTATAGGCACGGGACTCTAACAAGCGCGAGACCCTTACAAGCGTGGGGTCCTTACATGCGCGTGCTATCGGCGATCACACCGTTCGACACCCTCTAATGCCAACCCTGCCACACACCCCTCTTCCCATGCCACTGCTCATATGCACAAAATTCAAAATGAAGACAACCCTGTCGATGCATCACCAACGCCGGCCTTAGGTAAATGCTCACACTGTGTGAAGCACCCGTTCGGAGTCCCCTTCGGGATTGATAAATTAATTTCCACGCCCTTTCGGTTTGTCCCACCCCAGTGTTAGTATCCAAATTTAGAATGCAACTTTCAGTGGATGAAAAGCGATAATACGAAATAGTAGAATACCGTTTCTCGACCCCGGACCCGAGGCTCACACATCATATAATAAGCTAAGGGAATTTAAATATTTACTGGGCGCCCTAGCCCCAGGCGCCCAAAGGCCACGGGATCCTGTACGGGGGCACAGGTCGCACACCCTAAATGCCGGCGTTGGCATAAGAGAATCAGTTTGTGAGTATATGGTTTCAGGCGAGTGAGTATATTCTAATAGAAATCGAGTGATTTCAGATGTGTGAGTATATTCTAAGAGAAATCGAGTGGTTTCAGATGTATGAGTATGTAATAAGAGAAATCAAGTGGTTTCAGATGTGTGAGTATGTTCTAAGAGAAATCGAGTGGTTTCAGATGTTTGAGTATATTCTAAGAGAAATAGAGTGATTTCAGATGTGTGAGTATGTTTAAGAGAAATCAAGTGATTTCAGATGTGTGAGTATATAATAAGAGAAATCAAGTGATTTCAGATGTGTGAGTATATAAATAGAAAAATCGAGTGATTTCAGATGTGTGAGTATATAAATAGAAAAATCGAGTTGTTTCAGATGTGTGAGTATATAAATAGAAAAATCGAGTTGTTTCAGATGTGTGAGTATATAAATAGAAAAATCGAGTTGTTTCAGATGTGTGAGTATATAAATAGAAAAATCGAGTTGTTTCAGATGTGTGAGTATATAAATAGAAAAATCGAGTTGTTTCAGATGTGTGAGTATATAAATAGAAAAATCGAGTTGTTTCATATGGTGGAGCCTTAAGCGACACAAGCAGAGCCTCATAACACAAATGTGGACAGAGCACTGCCCCACGAGGAGCTATCTAAATAGGTTGAACCCACTACGGGACCCGAGCTGCCGCCATTGTGGACATGCACCGGAGACAGTAGAGCACCTTCTAGCCGTGTGCCCAACATTAGCGACTGGCGTGACTGGGGTGCTCCCAGCCAACCACGTCGAGAGCCTGTTATACGGGTCTGCCCAGCAGATGAGGCAGGCCTGTTCCATACTTGCCGGGGCCATTAAAGAGCAATAGCTCGGTCCCATACAGTGAATGAAAATATTTCAGTGGTTTCATATGAGTGAGTATATAAATAGAAAAATCGAGTGGTTTCAGATGTGTGAATATATAAATAGAAAAATAGAGTTGTTTCAGATGTGTGAGTATATTATAAGAGAAATCGAGTGTTTTCAGATGTGTGAGTATATAATAAGAGAAATCGAGTTGTTTCAGATGTGTGAGTATATAAATAGAAAAATCGAGTGGTTTCAGAATGTTAACCTACGCTTTTTCAGTTTTTTTTCGTTAGTGACGCAGAAAATCCAAAACTGGACGGTCTGCCAAACTATCATCAAAATAAGTAGACCTATTAGGCTTATTTCAGTTGCTGACATTGTTTGGATCCCTTTCTTCTCTGCTGGTTGGATCACTTCCTTCTCTGGTGCTTGGATCACTTCCTTCTCTGGTGCGGCCCCTGAAATGTACAGATGAAATGTAATTTCAAAATTAAAAGCGCTTTAAGCCAATGTGTCTATTTAGAAACGTGACGTATGCTTTGTGTTTCAAACATCGGTAACGTTAAAGATGTATACATATATATGTAAACTTGACCATTCATTTTCAAAATCAAAAGCAGAACATTTAAAACCAACATCATGACGTCATTATTATTTATTTGTTGCCGCCGTTAGTGCCCTAATATAAATATTTATTTGTGATTACATGGCAGTAGCTGAGTTGACATTGGGCAGCTATCCACACCCTACGACCACAAGCAAGTGAACATGCACTCATTGAAGTAGGGACTCAGAATAATGAAGCGTTGTTTATGTTAAATTTAATTAATAATTTATCTGTAGTTATTTCGACTTAGATCAAGAATTAGTTTGATTTCTTATATTGTAATAGAAAACCGACCAAAATTCGGCTTTGGCTTCGGTTTCAGCGCCGAAAGTGGCTATTTTATTATTTCGGCTAATTTCGATTTCGGCCGAAATGTACTGAGGTTTTCAGTCATCAACCAGAAGTCAGACGGCCTGTCTGTCTCTAGGCCGACAATCTGATATTCATTAGTGATCGACGTCTGGCATTCCTTGCATGTTATATATGACTAATATTGAGCGAAATCTGCCCAATGCTGCATGATGACCTACTTGTCCTGTCCTATGTTTCCAAACAAATTATATTTCAATTAGGCCTAGAGAAATGAAAAAAAAAACAGTTCAGTGGAAGAAAAACTATGGGAATGGTAATATTTATATAATTATTTTTGTTTTAATTTTTGTTTCAAAAATAAAATTTGGAACCGTATGTTTATTCTAGTGTGTTGTTACTAGATTAAATATCAATACAGTGATATATTGCAAGCTATTAATGAAAGCACAAAGCATTATTATTACGAAAACATCGAAACATTGTGGTGATATTTTTATAGCCTTAATAACATATATTTAGCTGTCAATTGGCTCTGTTAGAGCCAACATAAATTATTGTAGGTATATGTTCTAAGTTGTAATTGTATTATAAAAGCAAAGGGCACTCAAGAGTCTATTTTGCATTAATTTCCCCCACCCCCATTTGCGACAAATTTTCTCCTACCATACTAATTAAAAAAAAATTGTAAAGCAATTTAAATTACTTCTAAATGAAAATGGTAAAATCTAAAATATTCATTAGATCAAGAGTCTCAAAATCAAATCATTTAGAGGGGGTGGGGGGGGGGTGGGGGGTGCACGATGTAGAGTCTGAGCGAGACTGGGCCCCATCAAGTATTCCACCAAAAAGCGATTGGAAATTCATTAAAGTAAACTGTTATAATCTGCTCGACCTTTATAAATAACTAATATAAACATTAAGGGTTCTAAAGAACTAGGATTCACTTTCTTCCACCTACTCACTGTTGCCAGAGACCTGGCAGCGCTTCTTTTTACACAGCTTTGACTTGAGTTAAGCAGCAACTGAGACCCTCAGTATAGCTTGAAGATCCTCATCAGTAAGTTTGGCCCTGAACTTTGACTTGTTAAGGTGCATAGTGGAAAATAGCTTTTCACACAAATAGGTAAGCCAAAAAGTCATATGATCTGCATGAACAACCTAAAAGTTTCAGGGAAGGTGGAGAGCAATGCAATAAAATGTCCATGTTTGTCTGTTTTTACATTCAGCTCCCCGCGCAAAGCATCTTGCACATTAAAGGAGAAAGGGTCAGAAAAAGCTGAAAAGTGGCTGTCTGTGTTTTGAAGTATAAAAAATGTGATCAAATTCTTTCTGTAGGTTTGCAATGGCATCAGTATACTTACTACTAAGTTACTACTGAATGTCAACAAGAAAAACCAAGTTTATGAGCCATTTTGGATCATTTAGTACCGGAACAACCACCACATCCTTTTCCACGCAGGCTTTAAATGCTAAAACGTGTCAAGCAGTAGCAGGCCATATTTATGAACTATTGCTGCGAAGGATGCAGCTATTGTAGGTATTATGAATTTTGACTTTTTATCGTGATAAATGCCTTTTTGACTAACCCTATTTCAAAAGACAATCCTACTATATGGAGCAGCAACTTGGAAAACAACGTTGTGCATTACGAAGAAAGTACAGAGCTTCGTAAACACATGTCTTATAAAGATCCTGAACATCAAAAGGCCAAATATTATCACCAACAAAGATCTACTAGAAAGGACTCGCCATGTGCCCATCAACGAAGACATCTTAAAGAAAAGATGGAGATGGATAAGACCTACTCTCCGAAAAAGCCCCAGATAACATCCCCAGACAATTCCTAACATGGAATCCACAGGGAAAAAGAGAGGAAAGCCAAAGAATACGTCGAGACGCGAGCTAGAGGCAGACACGCAAAATATGGGATACACCTGGAAACAACTGGAAAGGAAAGCACAGGATCATGATCAATATAGAATTCTTGTGGATGGCTTATGCCCCAGACAGGGCAAAAAGGCATAAGAAGAAAAAAAAAATTTGAAAGTGACCAAGCTGACGGGCTCGGAATTTCCCTCACTCTTAAACACTAGCGGAAATTTTAATAGGGATCCTGTGCTTATGTATCAGATTACTAGGATTTACACAATTATGGTTGTGCATTACCCACCAACTCACTTTAAATTTTTTCTTCTTAAAGCTGCACTCTTTGCCAGGTTTGTCTCATAAAAAAAAGCTGTAAAATAAAAACTTTTATTCCGATTTAAAAAAAAAAAAATTAGACTAGTCGGTGAGATTCGACTGAAACCGTCGCGGAGAGTCACGTGATAGATATGAGAATGGGGAAAACGTTCCGGCGCATTAACACTAAACTTTTCTGTCATGTAGCGGGCCGCAAAATATCGTCTTGCGGGTCAAAAATGGCTCGCGGGCCGCGAGTTTGAGACCCTTATATTAGATGTTTATTTATTAATTTTCACTAACGATTATCTCATTTTTATAAAAAGAATGTAAATATTGATACTTCCCCCCCCCCCATCATTTTCGATGTATGAAGAATGTATGCGAGAACGAATTTCAAAATATCTAAATATTTCGTTTTCAGTTTCGGTTTCAGCCGAATGTCATTTTAAATTTTCAGCCTTTTTTTCGGTTTCGGCCAAAATCAGAAAATCACTTTCGGTCGATCTTTATTTTGTAATTGTTTTTCCTTGGGCACATAAAAGAAACCCAACAATGTAGTTTACGAAATTGCTGAGATTTAGAGAAAGATCACCAGGGAATTACCATTGATCGTGTCAGTGTTAAAGTCTAATATAAGACATGTCAGTGTTTAATCAATTCCTTATAGTTTTTAAATCTAAATTACGTCATGTGCTATTAGTCGTGCTACTTTATAACTCACCTTTAAATTCCAAAGCAGAGGCAGTTTGAATCAAATCACCTGACTTCCAGTATTTAGCAACACAAAATATGAAGTTATTTTGTTTGCCACCATAATGGTATGACAACACATTCAGACCAATTGACGTTACGTTCTTGGATGGCCAGATGTTGTGGTAAGATTGAAAGTCTCGATACGAATCCTGAAAATAATTGTCCCTTCAAAAGTACATTTTCAAAATAATATTTTTGGGGATTTTTGTTTGTTCTATTCCATAGGTTCTCAAAGTGGATGGGAATGACCACTGAGAAAGTCAGCTAATTTAGAAGGGCGCTGCTGTTATAATTAAATTGGACTGAATTATTATTTTTTTTTAAATTTAAAAATGGATGTTTCAAATCAATCTTACAGCATTGTTGTTTGGAATGACGGTATTTGAAAAATAAGAGTTAGATACATTTGTTGTTTTGCAATGATTCTGAGGGTAGTTGATTTACGTGCAGCAACTACACTTAATTGTTTGATGGCTACTGCAGCATGCTACACTTAATTATTTAATGGCTACTGCAGCATGCTACACTTAATTGTTTGATGGCTACTGCAGTATGCTACAATAATTGTTTGATGGCTACTGCAGCATGCTACAATAATTATTTTATGGCTACTGCAGCATGCTACAATAATTGTGTGATGGCTACTGCAGCATGCTACACTTAATTGTTTGATGGCTATTGCATCATGCTACACTTAATTGTTTGATGGCTACTGCAGCATGCTACAATAATTGTTTGATGGCTACTTCAGCATGATACAATAATTGTTTGATGGCTATTGCATCATGCTACACTTAATTGTTTGATGGCTACTGCAGCATGCTACAATAATTGTTTCATGGCTACTTCAGCATGTTACAATAATTGTTTGATGGCTATTGCAGCATGCTACAATAATTGTTTGATGGCTATTGCAGCATGCTACAATAATTGTTTGATGGCTACTGCAGCATGCTACAATAATTGTTCGATGGCTATTGCAGCATGCTACAATAATTGTTCGATGGCTATTGCAGCATGCTACAATAATTGTTTGATGGCTACTGCAGCATGCTACAATAATTGTTTGATGGCTACATATGGATTTTAAATAACCACAACAGTAACTGTGTACATTTTATGTAAAGACTCACAAAATATTCATTTTGTGAAAAATTAACAGATATCAGATACTAACATGATAATAAAGCAGATATTTTTGCTCAATCACCAAGTCCTTTAATTTTTCAACCAAGGAACCGGATCAGTGTCCTCAGAGACTATCGGGGACGGACTATTAGTAAGAATGAATATTATGCACTGTGCACATATCTTATTTCTATGCACAGTGCACATATCTTATTTCTATTCACAGTGCACACATCTTATTTCTATGCACAGTGCAAATATCTTATTTCTATGCAGAGTGCACATATCTTATTTCTATGCACAGTGCACACATCTTTTTTCTATGCACAGTATATATATATATATTATTTCTATTCACAGTTCATATATCTTATTTATTTTTATTTATTTATTAATTTCTATTCAAAGTGCACATCTCTTATTTATTTTTAGTGTTTATAGGGGAAGTGAGGTTAATGAGATTATCAATGTCTTGTTCCATGTCATTTGTATTTTACCGCTAGCTAAGTACTTTGTTAGCTGCCAGTGGGACGAATCAAGGACCCAAGCAATAATTTGACGACACCTGGATAATCAGTGATATGAATCGCTTGCATTGAAACATTCTCCCTGCAAAATTCATCTCAATTACCTCAGGGTAATTCTTGCAAATTCTTAAATTCCTATATATGTCATCGCTTAAAAAATGGAACAAAAACCTACTCTAAGAATGACCTTTCTTAAACGTTCGAAGGGACTGTCCGTGCAGGTTTGAAATTATATGACCTTACATTTTTTTTTTCGTATGGCTCATTGTGTTCATTGTGTTCAATGATTGGTGGCTGTGTGCGAATACGAGCAGCGTGTAGGTATTTTAGTCAGAGCTCGTTAAGGAAGTGCTAGAGTATAAGAAGGTAACACAACCACTAGCCTTTTGGGTTTGGATTTTGCACAGGAATGACAGAAATCCCAAGGACTCACCAACAGACTTTAAATAACACACCGTGGTGAACTTGATAAAATAAATAAAGAAAAGCCACGCCCCTATAGAAAAGCTACGCCCCTCTATAGAAAAGCTACGCCCCCCTATAGAAAGGGATACAACAATCTTAGAAAAACGGGAGACTAAAATCAAAGGAAGAGGAGACTACCCTCTCATAATAAATTTAATCCCTACCCATAAAACTAAAGAAACAATACCAACAGTGGCGTAGCTAAGGTTATTGCCGAACGGGGGGGGGGGTTGGGGGGGCGGGCCCAGATTTTTGCCATATAATTGGTCAAAAAATGAGGTCCCCTAAACATAGAAAAAAGTGTTGCCCGGGTTGGACCCCCCCCCCCCCCCCCCCCCCCCCCCCCCCCCCCCCTCTACACCCCTTGCAATCCTGACCCATTATGTTTAAAATTAAAGAAATAAATCTAGACCCATTTTACATAAAACTAAAGAAATCAATGCAGGCTCATTTTATATTACCTAAAACTCATCTTACTAGCTGTGTGCTGAAGCCCGTCTGGCACAACCGGTTGTTAAAAATGTCAAAATTATCTAGAAGTATACAAAATACATAGACATTTTTTCTATAACCGATTAGTACTGACTGAACCGGTTGTGGCTTGACTGGTAGCACACCTGTGGATATTACTGCATTTACATGGTAACGGAAATATATGACATGATCAAAATCACCATATACATATGAAAGTATCAGTAGGGCTGCAAGCTGATCCCCTTGCTGTACTAAAGTGAGTAGTGAAAATTTAAATGGAAATATTTTAAACAAATTTCATCCTATTTTATACAAGTAAAGTTGAAAATTTAACCAATACTTGTGTCTTATCTCAGGGAGGCCCAGTCTGACCACTCGATTTGAATCGAGACCAACTGTGAGATAGTGAAGCAATTTCTTAGTCATTTCCCTGGTAACATGTGGCCGCTTCGTGATTAATACGGATGCTATATCCTTGTGTATTTGAAGTGTACATTTCAATCTCTGGCTGTAATTACTGATTAATTACATGGCGGGTACTCGCTAATAAAGGTATAAAAATACGTACCTGTACTGGGTCAATTTTTATGTCGTTTTCTTTGAGAACAGAGAGAAGAACGATGGGTTCGTCACGCTGTGAGATATTACTGAATTTACACACTTGCAGTGAGTATGGTGTGATGTCTCCCGTTTGGAAGGAGATATCGCAAGTCATTAAGCTTCCCCCATCGTCCTGAACGAAGGTGACATTTACCTTAGCTGTGGAAGACATTGAATTAAAAGAAAAACGCATTTTCACGGATTTTTTTGCAAAGGTTCACGGGCCTTAATTGTGATCAAGTACAGAGAATATTAGCAGCCCCGTCACCACAAGAAGCAACGTGTGCGAAGCCGATAATATAAAATCAAATTGTCAAGTACATGGCTTTTATCGTTTAATTCAATATCAAGGTCCTTTCTAAAGTCGATATCCCAGTCACCTGATTTTGGCATCTTATTTTCTAAACATTGACCGATATTTACCTACATGGACATTATATATATTCTCAAATAGAAAAGTTATTTTTAAAATTGTAAATATATCTGTCTTTCATTGAATTGTATCGTCTGCTTAAGAAGGCATCTAGTCAAAATAACTCCGGAGGGAGGGTAAAAAATCTTTACGCTATGGCCTTAGCACAACCAAGGCGGACTCAGTGCTGCAGCACACCTGTTATAGGCATCCCGTTTACTTTCATTCATCTTTCCTGGTCAATGAACATAAGCTGACCCCCATTCGTTTGCACTATTATTAGGACGTGGCTTACTAATATATAGTCTCCCTTTGACCTCGGTTACTACCAACTAAACTCAATGGTCTGTTTATTATTAGAGTTTTGAAGAATTATGTTGAAAAATTGAGAAGCGATTATAATGCGTAGTTCTTCCAGAAGTATCTATGAAACAGGCTATACAAAGCCGAGAGATTGAGTGGCAGAGGGGACGTGAGTTATTTTAAGCATGTTCTATTGTTTTGCTATACGAGACAGAGATTTTTTTACTGTTTGTTGTTTAGATTCCTTTTCATCATTGTACATTTTTGTAACAGTGTATCTCCTTTAAAATTGTGCCGGTACAAGCCAATCATTACTCTGTAAGTCAATAGCTCTAATTTTATTTCTTTTTCATTTCGTAATTTAAAAGAAACATAATAAAATGTATTAATTGTAATAAGCCCTGATTTGAGTATCGTATTCTTTTGTCATTGTATTTAACATATTGCATCGTGTTTTGTTGTGTACTGTTTTACTTAAATAAGAGATTAATTTCTCCAAGGTGGACTCATTGCTGTAGCCCATCCAAGAAGGACTCAATGATGTAGCACACCCAAGGCGGACCCAGTGCTGTAGCACACCCAAAGCGGACCCAGTGCTGTAGCACACCCAAAGCGGACCCAATGCTGTAGCACACCAAAGGCGGACCCAGTGCTGTAGCACAACCAAGGTGGACCAAGTGCTGTAGCACACCCAAGGTGGACTCAGTGCTGTAGCATACCCAAGGTGGACTCAGTGCTGTAGCACACCCAAGGTGGACTCAGTGCTGTAGCACAGTCAAGATGGACTCAGTGCTGTAGCACGCCCAAGACGGTTTCAGTGCTGTAGCAAACCCAAAGTATACTCGCTGCTGTAACACACTCATCAGAAAGTATATATATATACATCTCGAACCCTGAGAAAGCGTAATGTAAGGAAAAAAATTGTTTCCATTAAAATGTTATACTATCATTTTAAGTAAAATGGTTACCTGCTTGTGTTGTCATAAGTATAAGTCCAGACATATAATAAAGTACAGCAATTGAACCCATCTTCATTTCGATATATTTAGGATTTTTTTGTCCACAATGATAAGAAGAATTCTAGGGGTGTCTTTTTGAACAGAGGCATCTAGAAGAGTCTTCTTGATAAAAAGTGCATACATATGTAGTCTTGATTACAGCCATCTATAGGTGTCATTTTGATAAGAGGAAACTTGTGGTGTCGTCTTGATAATTGGCAACATAGTGGTATCGTCTTGATAATAGGCACCTAGAGATATCGTCTTGATAATAGGCACCTAGTGGTATCATCTAAATGAGACAATGTAGCAAAAAATAGCAAGATATAGCAACATATTGCAACATATAGCAACAATGTTTCACCATTACAAACATGGCATTGTATAGAATTGTAGTTTTTTTTTACAACTTTATAAAATTTTCTAACAAATGGGAACATGTCAGACGTTTAAAGAATTGTATAGCTGAAAACTAAGAAAAATTCTGTGTCTAGCCTTAGAAGTCAAAAAGGCTGGCTGGGATTTTAATAGGTTCATCTCCAGCAGCAAGTTTGACATATTCACACTTTATTTTAACCTGACAATTGGTTTGTGGAAGGGGCGGCTACTAAGGAAACTTATCCGGTTTAAAAGTAATTACTTCCCTTGTTAAGACAAAACGCTATTAACAATACAGACAACAATTTTTTAAAAATATGTAAAAACAATAAAAATAAAAAATAAATTTAATATACAATATGAAATTTTAAAAATATAATTAAGACTCCACCCCAAGCTAAGCGACTGATGAAATTCATGGCAACGTTGATAGACATGGTGCTAAGCGGTTTTCAGTGTTAAGAGTACGTCGGCCGCTTGCTTGCCTGTATCAAAGATGAAATTCAGCTACTGTTTGACGTAAAGCAGATTTCGGTAAGATAGCCTGAAAACAATCTCTGTTACGTTCTGCTTCACAACGTCAATACTATAGGGCGAACTTTCGCAAGGCATGCACTCCTATGCATGGCAGAGATATAATTTTTAAGATCGCAGTTAAGTGTCCCTAAACCACGTAAATGACCTGAACTTACTGTAAACATTTCCTTTGATTCGTTGTGATGACACAATCGGTCAAGGCGAGACGCAAGGTTGTGGCACACTCATCAGAAAGTAAACACACTTCACGAGGCCCTAAGAAAGCGTTAGGTCAGGCAGATCGGTAGCCATGATGAAAAAAAAACAATTGAAACCAAGCTTGCTTTGGACTATATTTGATTTCGTATCCAAATAACCACTTTCCTCAACGCAATGCTCAAGACTTGGACTTGAATTTCAAATTCAGCTGCCACACGGCTAGTCGTGCTACCTGCAAGTGAGGCTGGTGAGTTCACAAGTTTTCCGGCCCGTCCCTCGGTGGTCCTCAATCTACCATCCAATATTTACAATCAAGTTTATTTTAGCATTGAGAAGCAAAGACAGTTATCTGAGACATCAATGGTTTGTTTCTCTTAAACCAAAATAGAGGTTATAAACATAGAGCGCATCAACCTAGAGGCACCAACCTAGAGGGTATCAACATAGTGTCAAACCAGAGGTATCAACCTAGAGGCACCAACCTAGAGGGTATCAATATTGAGAGTATCAATCTAGATCTAGAAACCTAGAGGGTATCAATATAGAGAGTATCAAATAAAAGAGTATTGCCTTCAAATTTGCCAGTATTTCAACATTACTTTAGCAACTGAATATATCCATCAAAATCAAAAGGGTAGTTGAGAACCGCTGACCGTCTGTGACGTACATATACCAATAAATCTGAGACACGTGCCGTTAGAGACGACGTACAACGGTCAGTCAGATTCCCATTAAGGTTATAAATTAGTTGTTGACACAATGACAAACCCACCATCACGTGCCAATAGAATCTCAAAAATGTCCATTGCCTATTTTTAGCTTTCCCATTAGATCATTTTGTTTAAAATTACGTGTGTACCGCAAGTGTCATAAAGATTATTTTGAGTAAGCTCTTATGGTGATTATTCCAGTTTGATAAATGACACTTTGTGGTGTCATTTTGACTAGAGGCACCTCATGATGTAAACCTTTGCTAGAGTCACTAAGTGGTGCCTTGATTAGAGGCACACTGGTGTTGTTTGATTTGGAGGCACTGAATAAATTGGTGCTGTCTCGACTAGGGCACCCAAAGGCGTAGTCTTGATTAGAAACAGGTGAGGGTGCCGCCTTGATTGGTTGAAGCTTGTAGGGTAATCAAAACTGAAAGAAGGTAATGCCAAATACCACTCACTCAAGCACCGGCCCACCGACGCACTTACCCACTCTTTCACTCACGCACTCATTCACTCGCCCAATCCCACAATCCCTCACTCACGCAATCATTCAATTCACTCATTCACACACTCACCCACTCAATCACTCACTCATCCACCCACTTACTCACCCACTCATTCACTCACTCATCCACTCACGCACTCATTCACTCGCCCTATCCCACAATCCCTCACTCACGCAATCATTCAATTCACTCATTCACACACTCACCCACCCACGCACTCAATCATCCACCCACTTACTCACCCACTTATACAATCACTCACCCATGCACTCATTCACTCACTCACTCCCTCACTCACGCACTCATTCACTCACCCACGCACTCACTCATCCGCTCATTCACTCACTCATTCACCCACTCACCCACTTAATCACCCAATCACTCACTCACTCACGCATAACTCACTCACGCACTAACTCACTCACGCACTCACCCACTCCCTCACTCATGCACTCATTCACTCACTCACGCTCTCATTCACTCACCCATGCACTCACTCATCCGCTCATTCACTCACTCATTCACCCACTCAACCTCTCACTCACCCACTCATTCACTCAATCACTCCCCCATTCATTCCCTCTATCACTCACCCACTCACTCACTTACCCACTCACTAACTCACTCATTTACTCAACCACTCACTAACTCACTCATTTACTCAACCACTCACTCACTCATTTACTCACACACTCACTGACTAAGCCATTCACTCACCCACCCATCCACTGACGCATTCACTCACTCTTACACTCTCACACTCAATCACTCGCCCAATCCCACAATCCCTCACTCACTCAAGCACTCACTCACTTCACTAATTCTTACACTCACTCAATCATCCACCCACTTACACACTCACTCATTCTCTCCCACACTCCCGCACTCATTCACTCACTCAATCACTCACCGATTCCCTAACTCACGCTCTCATTAACTCACTCACCCACTCACTCACTCACCCACTCACTCACCCACTCACTCACACACTCACTCACCCACTCACTCACCCACTCACTCACCCACTCACTCATTCACTAACCCATGCATTCGCGTACTCACTCACTCAATCTCTCACTCAATCACTCACGCACTCATTCACTCACTCACCCTTTCACGCACTCATTCACTCCCTCACTCACCCACTCATTCACGTACTCAATCACCCAATCTCTCACTTACTCACTCACGCACTCATTCACTAACTCACCCACTCATTAACCCACTCACTCACGCACGCATTCACTCACTCACTCATTCACATACTCACTCACTCAATCTCTCACTCACTCACTCACGCACTCATTCACTCACTCCCCCATTCATTCACTCCCTCACTCACTCATTCACTTACTCACTCACTTACCCACTCACTCACTCATTTACTCAATCACTCACTCCCTCAGTTACCAATTCACTCACTCATTTACTCACCCACTAACCCACTCACTCACTCACGTATCCATTCACTCATTTACTCACCCACTTAATTGCTCACTCAATCACTTACTCACTTACTTACTAACTCACTCACTCATTTACTCACCCACTTATCCACTTACTTACCCACTCTCTCACCCGCTCGCTCATTCAACCACTCACCCACTTACGCCATGAGTCACTCACCGAATCACCCACTCACTCATTCACTCACCCACTCACTCACTAACTGAACATGAGATCTCAAGCACAACAGGTCTTAGAAAATAACATTTCCTGAGTGATTCCCCTTACACCATAGTCGTACACTTATGAAAGTTTGTTTTTGTAATTCAACTTCTATGTGGCCTAAACTGACCAGTGTCCAAAACATGATTTGTTTCGTGTTTTTTTTCCGGTTTCTACTTTGGGATGATTGCTTTGTCTAATAACCGTGTTTCAGTGTCGACATTAATTGACAGACTTGTTGCTATAATTTTTGTTGATTACATTTTGAAACTTAGGAGTTTCATAAGGCTTGATGCGCCTCTCTTATGTATATTACGCTTCTGGTCTGACTCGTGGACTGCTTCCATTTCCGGCTTCTTCCCAACCAGCTGGCTGCTTCCTTTTCAGCGTTTGGTATTGAGAGTATATTACAAATAATTCTATATATATTGTATTCATATATATTTTAATAACGCAACTGCGTCTGGTGCGTAATATTTTTTGTCGGAAAATGAAATCGCCTCAATTTAAGTATGGTGTAAAAAAATAAATAAATTTGGTTTAAAAGTGGTCGGGACATCAGAGTATTTAATATAGTTCATGGGCGTGAAATAAAAAGTGTGCAATGACGTATCATGGGGGCAAGGGTGATAAAAAATGTGCGTTACTTGAGTTCATGTTTTGTCAAGTAGCAATAGTATCGTATCAAAGCCCATTTTAGCACCTATAACTAGCTGCCACCCGGGGACATCTGCGTTCCTGATTCCCCCCTTTGCTACGCCTCTGGTTTGAGAGAAATTTTAAAGCCAGAAGGATGAAAACTTCTTAGAGGCAGTTAAACGGACAAAATAAAGTGTCATTTTTTTTCCATTCGTAATAGAGGTAACATTTTTAATATGGCATGCGGGGGAACATGTCCTTTGATAATAGGCCTGTCACAGAGAGGGTCCACGTCTTTTGGGAAATGGCCTGACACTGAGAGGGTCCATGTCTTTTGGTAAATGGCCTGTCACAGAGAGGGTCCATGTCTTTTGGTAAATGGCCTGTCACAGAGAGGGTCAATGTTTTTTTAAAATGGTCTGTCACTGAGAGGGTTCATGTCTTTTGTTAAATGTCGTGTCACAGAGAGGGTCTACGTCTTTTGGTAAATGGCCTGACACTGAGAGGGTCCATGTCTTTTGGTAAATGGCCTGTCACAGAGAGGGTCCATGTCTTTTTGTAAATGGCCTGTCACAGAGAGGGTCCAGGTCTTTTGGTAAATGGCCTGTCACAGAGAGGGTCCATGTCTTTTGGTAAATGGCCTGTCACAGAGAGGGTCCAGGTCTTTTTGTAAATGGCCTGACACTGAGAGGGTCCATGTCTTTTGGTAAATGGCCTGTCACAGAGAGGGTCCAGGTCTTTTGGTAAATGGCCTGTCACAGAGAGGGTCCAGGTCTTTTGGTAAATGACCTGACACTGAGAGGGTCCATGTCTTTTGCTAAATGGCCTGTCACTGAGAGGGTCCATGTCTTTTGGTAAATGGCCTGACACTGAGAGGGTCCATGTCTTTTGGTAAATGGCCTGACACTGAGAGGGTCCATGTCTTTTGGTAAATGGCCTGACACTGAGAGGGTCCATGTCTTTTGGTAAATGGCCTGACACTGAGATGGTCTATGTCTTTTTGTAAATGGCCTGTCACAGAGAGGGTCCATGTCTTTTGGTAAATGGCCTGACACTGAGAGGGTCCATGTATTTTGGTAAATGGCCTGTCACAGAGAGGGTCCATGTCTTTTGGTAAATGGCCTGTCACAGAGAGGGTCCAGGTCTTTTTGTAAATGGCCTATGACAGAGAGGGTCCAGGTCTTTTTGTAAATGGCCTGACACTGAGAGGGTCCATGTCTTTTGGTAAATGGCCTGTCACAGAGAGGGTCCAGGTCTTTTTGTAAATGGCCTGTCACAGAGAGGGTCCAGGTCTTTTTGTAAATGGCCTGACACTGAGAGGGTCCAGGTCTTTTGGTAAATGGCCTGTCACTGAGAGGGTCCATGTCTTTTTGTAAAAGGCCTGTCACAGAGAGGGTCCATGTCTTTTGGTAAATGGCCTGTCACAGAGAGGGTCCATGTCTTTTTGTAAAAGGCCTGTCACAGAGAGGGTCCATGTCTTTTGGTAAATGGCCTGTCACAGAGAGGGTCCATGTCTTTTTGTAAATGGCCTGTGACAGAGAGGTCCATGTCTTTTTGTAATGTGCCTGACACTGAGAGCGTCCATGTCTTTTGGTAAATGGATCGTCACAGAGAGAGTCCTTGTCTTTTATTAGGAATCAGATGAGAGGATACCTCTAGTTAAAGTTTTTACTAAAGAAACAAAAACATTTTGATTAAAACAATGTTTGTTTATTGTCATTGCAACTTAAACATTTTAAAAATAATTGATTAACGGATACATCAGCTGATTTATCATAACATCCTGATTCCTTACATCAGCTGAAAAGCATGACTTCATACATGATATATTTACAAAGTAAATTTAGTTTGGAAAATGATGCCATCTCATATACCCTGATATCAATAGCTCCAAGGGGAAAGTGGACACATTTTAAGCAAAAATTTCATGCTTGTAAAGACTATGTGGCACCATAGGGCTGAGCTGGGTGCAGTTATTTACACTTGGTCCGGATCCAGCTATTTTTAGAAAATACCCGGCGGGTCCGGAAAATTATGTATTGTAATGTGTGTCATCTGATGTTAAGGAGGTCAGAGTTCATGAATGAAATCAGCAGCGATCAAAAAGTTATTAAAGATCAACATTTGTAAAGCCAGTAGCGATCACAAAGGAATCAAAGATAAACATGTTAAGAATCAGTAGCGATCACAAAGGAATCAGAGATAAACATGTTAAGAATCAGTAGCGATCACAAAGGAATCAGAGATAAACATGTTAAGAATCAGTAGCGATCACAAAGGAATCAGAGATAAACATGTTAAGAATCAGTAGCGATCACAAAGGAATCAGAGATAAACATGTTAAGAATCAGTAGCGATCACAAAGGAATCAGAGATAAACATGTTAAGAATCAGTAGCGATCACAAAGGAATCAGAGATAAACATGTTAAGAATCAGTAGCGATCACAAAGGAATCAGAGATAAACATGTTAAGAATCAGTAGCGATCACAAAGGAATCAAAGATAAACATGTTAAGAATCAGTAGCGATCACAAAGGAATCAAAGATAAACATGTTAAGAATCAGTAGCGATCACAAAGGAATCAGAGATAAACATGTTAAGAATCAGTAGCGATCACAAAGGAATCAAAGATAAACATGTTAAGAATCAGTAGCGATCACAAAGGAATCAGAGATAAACATGTTAAGAATCAGTAGCGATCACAAAGGAATCAGAGATAAACATGTTAAGAATCAGTAGCAATCACAAAGGAATCAGAGATAAACATGTTAAGAATCAGTAGCGATCACAAAGGAATCAAAGATAAACATGTAAAAAGCAGAAGCGATCTCAAAGGAGTAAAAGTCAGACATGTTAAAGATCAGTGGCGATCACCAAGGTGTCAAAGTTGAAGGATTGAAAACACTGACAGCTCAATAATATAATATTAACCGAATGGTTCCTAACTATTTTAGTGTGTGCGTGTCAGTACGCTGCTCAACCCTCATTTTTAATAGGAAAATCCCTCATCCCGAAGTGTATGTGTTAAATAGTAAATGTTATACCACTGCCAGTGCACGTGTGGTCTTGGAAATGTTATTTGCCAAACAAAGAAAAAACCAACAAAATCTTTTTTGTTTCGATTTCAACCATCGGTACCTCTGGCTGTGTGAATAATGTGTTAGAAATTGTGAACTACAGACATTTAGTATGGTATACTTTTAAGAATTGCTCATTTAAATATGTAGGGTTCAATTCTGGTGTGGAAAGTTATCGTGTGGTAAGTTCTGTTGTGGTAAGTTCTGTTGTGGTAAGTTCTGTTGTGGTAAGTTCTGTTGTGGTAAGTTCTGTTGTGGTAAGTTCTGTTGTGGTAAGTTCTGTTGTGGTAAGTTCTGATCTAGTTAGTTATCGTTTGGTATGTTATCGTGTGGTCAGTTATCGTATGATAAGTTCTGGTGTGGTAAGTTCTGGTGTGGGTAGCCGTGGTGTGGTAAGTTCAAGTGTTATAGGTTCTGGTGTGGTATGTTCAGGTGTGGCAAGTTCTAGTCTGGTAATTTTTTGTGTGGTAATTTCTGGTGTGGTAAGTTCTGGTGTAGTAAGCTCTGGAGTAGTAAGTTCACTTGTAGTGAGTTATGGTGAGGAAAGTTCTGGTGTGGTAAGTTATCATGGGATACCTTTTTGTGTGTTAAGTTCAGGTGAGGTAAATTCTGGTTTGGTTAGTTCTGGTGTTGTAAGTTCTAGTGTGGTAAGTTCTGGTGTGGTAAATTCTTGTGCGGTTAGTTCCAGTGTGGTAAGTTAAAGTGTGATAAGGTTTAGAGTGGTAAGTTCCGGTGTTGGAAGTTCAGGTGTACTGAGTTCTGGTGAGGTAAGTTTAAGTGTGGTAAGTTCTGGTGTGGTGAATACTAGTGTGGTAAGTTCTGGTGAGGTAAGTTCTGGTGTGTTAAGTTATGGTGTGGTTGTTTTGGTGTGGTAGGTTTTGGTGTGGTAAGTTCTGGTGTTGTAAATTCTGGTTTGGTAAATTTTGGTTTGGTAAATTCTGATGTGGCAATTTCTGGTGTATTAAATTCTGGCGTGGCTAGTTATGGTGTGGTAAGTTTTGATGTGGTACTGTCTAGAATGGTAAGTTCAGGTGTTGTAAGTTCAAATTTGTTATATTCGGGTGTAGTGAGTTCTGGTGAGGTATGTTCTGTTGTTGTAATTTATGGTGTTTATAATTTTGGCGGTGTGAATTCAAGTTTGGTTAATTCTGATGTGGTAAGTTCTTGTGTGGTAAGTTATGGTTTGCTAAGTTATGTTAGGGTAAATTCTGGTGGGGTATATTCTGGTCTGGTACATTCTGGACTGGTCCGTTCTGGTGTGGTAAATTCTTGTGTGATAAGTTCTAGTGTGGTAAGTTAAGGTGTTATAAATTCTGGTGTGTTTAGCTCTGGAGTGGTATGTTAGAAGGTAGTAATTTCAGTTGTGATCAATTCAGGAGTAGTGAGTTCTGGTTTTGTAAGTTATGACATGGTAAGTTCTGTTGGTGTGATTTGAATTACTGTAAGTTCTTTTGTGGTTAGTTATGGTTTGGTAAGTACTGATGTGGTAAGTTTATGTGTGGTAATTTATGGTGTGGTTAGTTCTGAAGTGGTTACCTCTTGTGTGGTAAGTTTAGTTGTATATAGTTCTGGTGGGGTAAATTCTGGTATAGTAAGTTATGTGAGTTAAATTCTGGTAGGGTAAGTTCGTGTGTGTAAGTTAATTTGTGATAAGTTCTGTTGCGGTGATTTCTGGTGCTGTACGTTTGATGAGGTAAGTTCTGCTGGGGTTAGTTCTGGTGATTTTGGCTTTTGTGTGGTAAGTTCTGACGGTGTGCGTTCTGGTATTAGTAAATTGAGCTGTGGTAAGCTCTGGTGTTGTAAGTTCGGGTGTGGTAAGCTTATGTGCGGTAAGTCCTGATGTGTCGTGTCAAATTTTTTTCGAACTTCTTCTGATTCCTTGATGTTCCGAACTGACGCGAGAGATGCCTGACATGAGATCGCTACGGTCAATCAACTCCTGGCCAGGAGTTTGCTGAGCCACCAGGTTGACGAGTTCTGTTCTTGATATTGGTTTTCGATGTATATCTGAATGCTGATCTAGCCCTGCATCCGGTGTCGTTTGGGTGAACCGGTCAGTGAGACCAGAACCCAACGATGTGTTATCATCAGTGGGGTTGTGTATGATGGATGTCTTCAGACCTGACGCGTCTGGGTTTTGAAATAGATTCCTGTAAACAGAGGAAATATTTTTATTTTAAATTTGACATTTAGAATTGCTGTTTACCGACCTGTAGTGATAGAGTTATCATGAATAAAGGTGTTGTGTTATTGAACGGCAGGAGTGTTACCCGTTAATCGGGTGATACAGCAAAAATTGGTTTCTACTATATTAAGTATGTTTAACCTATATTTATGAATGAAAGGTACATGTTTCGATAGTAAATAATTGAAAGGTACATATTTCCATACTTATTGATTGAAAGATACATATTTTGATACTTAATGATAAGATATATATTTTTTGCTACTTAATCATTCAAAGGTACATATTCCGGGATAAGACAGGACTGATCATTTGCTTATATTAAAAATACATAATATTAAAAGTGCTAGCTTGGGCCCCTACCTGATCGCGTCCATGGACCTGGCCTTCCTCCAGAAGATCCATGCGATGGTGAAGAAAGAAATCTCTCCTAACATAGCAACGAAGGTGGCTGTGGCGATGAGGACCTTAAGCGGAAGGTCCAAGCTGTCATCGGTCACTTGAAGGTCAGTGGTGTTCGTCACTGAAACGAAACATGTTTGAACAAATTAAGGCCGGGGCGTCTACTCATTAAGGGAGGGGGGCGTCTACTCATGAAAAATGGGGTGGGGCGTCTATTCATGAAGGGCGTCTATTCATCACATGCTTTAAATCTAAGTTTTTTTTAAAAAAACGTGTGGGTTGATAACATCTTTGTTTTTACATTTCCCAAGGCTCATATTTAATGTGGGAAAGGAAAAATATTATATTTTATTAGGAGACCAAAACAAAAGGGTTCCATTTACTTTCCTATGGATTCAGCTCAAATCCACAAATTTGATATAACTTATGTGTGAGCGCATAGCCATCCACAAGTTTGAAATGACTTATATGTGAGCGCACAGCCATCCAAAATTTCCACCCGATGTTTGGATGTTAAAATAAAAATTAAGCAATACTATAATTTTTTTAAGGCATACCAAAACTCATTTGTTTAACATCCCATAGATTTGTTTTGAAGAAAATGTGGATCAATTATTCAGCTTGTGTCGAAATTGTAATCTTAACACAAACATTCAGCATCACACTGGATGTTTGAATTTTAAATTGAAATCTTAACAAAGACATGCAGCATATGTTTTAATATCATTTTATAATTTCAACATTGCTAAAACAATTTTTTAAACTGTATTTTTTTACTAACATTCACAGTGAATTCTCTCCTTTTAAATATCGATACCATGACCCAGAGAATCGATCATTATATAATGGGGAGTGTTGGTTTCCACAGACTCCCCTGAATGTGGGTCATTGGGAAGTTTCTACATTACTGAACAATATTGAACAATTTAAAAAAAAAAATATTTGAAAAGAAATAATTTCTTTGAAGGCTAGTTTAGAGCATTAAACATGAGATAATAATGCTCTTAAGATTTATCTTACAAAAAATCTCTTGAAGAATGGTAACAAAGCGCACTACGCAGCCAAAAGTGTCCAATTACATGTAGAAAATATCTTGTGAACAGAAAATCTTGCGTAAAATAATGTTGAATACAGTGAAAGAAAATTGTGTTCCTCCTAGTAACGATCTAACCATTCACCGACCTGAAGGAGACAGTGTGGTAGAAAATCTTTTCCCACCGTGCTGGCTCCCCCTGACGTCACTCGAACTTTGAATTTCGGTGGTTTTAAGGCTCGTGGTCACGTCTGGGCCTGGGGGAAAACAGAAACAAGTTGCTCTCTAATGACCATGAAATGCACTCCCTCATGCTCTGATCAGGAGATCTCTAAGACAATATAAAAATCTGCGAGGCTTAAATGGCGCTTGGTGGCTGCTCGTATTTTCTTAGCGAGCACTGACTCGGTTTTTGTTTGTTTCAACTTTTATCTGGCTGAAGTTTAACAAAGGCCAAAACTTTTATAAAAGCCATGGTTTGTTCCGTAGGGCGTGTTTTCGGTGTGTGTTCTGATTTCACATTTGATGTGTTTTGCAATAGGTTTGAAAATGCTCTACTCTAACTTTTGCGAATCATTTGCAAACAACAAGAATATTTATATTATATATATATATATATGTGTGTGTTCTGATTTCACATTTGATGTGTTTTGCAATAGGTTTGAAAATGCTCTACTCTAACTTTTGCGAATCATTTGCAAACAACAAGAATATTTATATTATATATATATATATATATATATATATATATATATATATATATATATATATATATATTATGTATAAAAAATTATAAATATAATCAACTGATATACATATTTCAATCCTTCAATAGCGTTCAATAAAACCTGTCGACAACACTGTAACTATATACAATCGAAATACGTCATGATCAGGCCATCTCGATAACAAAAAGCTAAATAAAGTTGAAATTCCTTTATACTCTTGAGCAGCGGTTCCTAACCTTCCCCATGATGCGACTCTTTAATATTTTTTTTTGTTGCGACCCCCAACCATTCATTTATTTTCATAGCTTCTGCATAAATATATGTTTTCCGATGATCTTGGGGCCGATGTTAAATGTTTGTAATATTTGTTTGACGCCCAAAGGCTCGAGACCAACAAAATGAGAACCGCTGCTCTAGAGGTAAACTAACAGGATTTTTTTTGTCTATTAACATTTTAAATTCTGCTTATGTGAGGCCAGAACTGAGGAAATGTAGGAATATGTTTCTAATTAATCATTTGTTTCGGGGTTTGTTTTTTTGGCTGATACATTTTAAGATTTGGTTCCTTTAGGGAACTTGTTTTTTGGAGTCGAGATTAATTACAAAAACCACTTTGTTACTGTAGAATGCGTTGTGACGATTTGAATACTTAGTGTGCCTAGAAATGTCTACGCAGGTTTGCCTACGTTAACCGTGCATATCATAATCTGACGGACGAACTATGAACACGAGAGCGCCCCCTCAAAAGTGACTTAATTGTAATAGGGTGCTCAATATTCTTTCTGCAAATTCAGTGATGACAATGTATACCTACGGGTAATCTCTGTCAAGTAGGTTGCCTTGTTAGGCATATCGCCGGACTTCTACCAGCCTGTGACTTAATGTAGAAACTAAACCGTCTTTCCACAGGAATCCGTGCTGATGTGCTCAAAGCCTGTATCAAGTCATCCAACGTTTGGTCCCAATTCCAAGCACATTTCTTGCACGTTAACATGACAGATCCAGCCCCAGCACCAAGGCTATGTTTGGAATTGTCATGATCTACTTTCGGTGGACGAACAATCACCGCGATAATGCTTGTTAAAAGTGATTTAAAACGGCAGAAGTGTTCTCAAACTTCTTTCTCCAAATACGATGATGACGAGGTACACATTACGCGTAATCTCTGTCAAGATAGTTGCCTTTTTAGGTACATCTAACTTCCAGGGGTGATAATAGATTCAAAAGACCTCGATAAATATATTTATTTTACTTCTCAATAAATCATATTGACTCATTTGCTGCATTGTTAGAATTCTAAAAACGAAATCCTTTGTGTTTGCAAAATACTTAAAATATATGTTGATAGTGGAAAAAAAAGAGACCCCATTACCATATTCAATATGAGAACGGTACAGACACACTTAAAGACTTACAGCGAGAAACATAAATTCACAGTAAGACATATAGGCACATACAACTAACGCAGGGTGAAGAAAATAAAGACACAAATAAAACATTCACAGCGGAACAAAAAACAGACATGTTAAAGTAACACATATAACACATTCACAGTGAGACATACAGATACAAACATGAGATATTCAAATCGAGACCCATACGAAACAAATAACACAGCCACTAACAAGACAATACCACAAAGTCATAATGATATTCACAGTAAAACATACTTTAGATTCACAATGAGACAAAGACAGATAGACCAGAGAGTGACAAAGTGCAGACACACATAAAACATTGACAGTGACACAAATGCAGACACACAAAACAGATTCACATTGAGACTAATACAGAAATGTCTATTAGATTTACATGCCTTTACCTTTTATGACTTTCAGTTTAGATGAGCCTTGATGAGAGCACAAGGAAGTTTGAAAAGTAATTAAAAAGCAAGAGTACGCTCCCTGGTGATCCACCCGGGCTTGCCTTACCATTACTTTGCAATATGTTTTATTTGCAAGAGGATCTATGTTGCACGTTGAGTTCCAATTCCCATCGTTTGGATACTTAAGTTATAAAAAGTAAGAATTAATAAAAAAAAAACAACAAAACTGGACAATTTGTTTGCTTGCTTCTTGTTCCGTAAAAAAATTAAATATTTAAAAAAATATTTTGTAGGCTGATTAGAGAAAATAACTTTCACGTGTCATCCCTTGGTTTGAGGATAAATATGATTTGATGACGTCATTAAACAAACAAGGCTGTCGTGAAGGAAAGTAATTCTAATTGGAAAACAAAATATTAGGTTTTTATTACTCAGGAACGTTTATAAATTGTAGGCGTATTGAATCTTCATAAAATAACTATAAATAGCCGTTGTCTCTTATTGTGTAATAAATGAAGGCCTGCATTCAAGCTATTTCAAAGAAATGGTAGAACAACGCGTGTGGAAGCTTGAATCAAATGACAGGACAATAAGATGTGAACGTTTCGGCTAAAAGCCTTCCTTAGCAGACAGAACAAATATAAATACGGCGACAAATTGAGTAGAGCTAAAAACTTAGGCGATCACCATCGTTGTTGCCGAAGGTAGGATTTTTCAAAACCGAGATTACAGGAAGTTAAAGAAAATATATAGTTAAAAATAAGGTCTTGCATCATCACGCACCAAAACACTTTAGAGATGCATAACATATAGGGAATAAGGAACTACTAGTGTAATATCTAGCAAGTTACTATTGCTGATGTACTACTAGTGTAAGATATAACCAGTTACTTTAGCTACCGTACTACTAGTGTAATATTTAACCAGTTACTATTGCTACTGTACTTCTAGTGTAATATCTAGCGTGCTACTGTTGCTGATGTGCTACTAGTGTAATACTTAACCAGTTACTATTGCTACCGTACTACTAGTGTAATGCCTAACCAGTTACTATTGCTACCACACTACTAAAGTAATGTCTGGCCAGTTAATGTTGCTACTTGACTACTATTGTCATATCTAGCCTGTTACTATTGATACAGTATTACTAACGTAATATCCAGCCAGTTATCAATGCCACTGTACCACTGTACCAATATTGTCATATCTAGCTAGTTACTAATTGCTACCGTACTTTTAGTATAATATCATGCCTTTTACAATTGCTACCGTTCTACTTGTGTAATTTCTAGCCAGTAAATATTGCTACTCTACTATTAGTGTAATATCTGGCCAGTTATTATTGGTACCGCACCACTAGTGTAATATATGTGTTACTGTTGCTAACGTTTTATAGGTTCTATCTAACTTGTGGTGTGGGTGGAAGATAAGCACCAACTCCTCTAGAAATGCCCTCTCAGGCTTGGGTCTCCTAATGCCTCTGTCAACCGAAATCCAGCTCCTGACCTTCACGCGTGGCTTCCCACAAAAGCCCGGCGGACCATGTTTCTACTAACAGGAGAAGGGATAAAGGCGGTGAATTTGCGCCTCAAAACCAGTAGCTTCGGGTAGTAGAGACTCGTAAACCATGGCCGGTAGCTCCACTGGGTGCGTGGAGCTCAGAGGAACATCTCAACAAGTAGGCCACAAAAACATGCACCTAGAAATATGAAAAGAAAAGAAGACCCCAGCTCTTCGACCAACAAGCTGGGACGTAAGGACTATGTGTCCGGGCATGACTGCCGATCTGAAGATCATTAACGATGCAAGGAAGATAACATTGACAGATAACTTAGCAGACTAAACATTGATATTGCCTGCCTCCTGAATGAGGTACCTTAAAATAACATGTTTTGTATTTAAATTTTTATTGGTTAATTAATTATACTTTTAAAATTGCCACTGGTTGGCTCATTATCATATTTTATTTGTGCTGCCATATTTGCTGTTTTTTTTTTGCCTTGTGCTCTATTTATTTTGTGGATATTATTTTTTGTGAAACCTGAAATAAAGTGTGTAAACGTGTATTTCATGAAACTATAAGTTGGGTTTTCATTATTTCTTTATTTTATAATTATTTTTGGCCATTTTTCATAGTTTTCTTGCCTCCCTGTCAATTCCACGTACCGTGACTTTAGGGCCAGTTTTAGGGTTTGGGTTAGGTTTAGGGACAGATTTAGGGTTCACTTTAGGGTTAGGAATAGATTTAGGGTTTAAGGATAGATTTAGGGTTCAGGTTAGGATTAGGGATAGATTTAGGGTTTAGTTTAGGGTCAGGGATAGCTTTAGAGTTTAGGTTAGGTTTAGGAATAGATTTAGGTTTCAGGTTAGGTTTGGGGATCAATTTACACGTCTTTTTATTTAATTACATTTGCAAAAAATTACGTTTCGGGGACAGAGGGGGGGGGGAGGGGCTGAATTTTTTTTTTTTTTTTTTTTTTTTTTGTTTTTTCGCCTTTTAAAAAAAAAAAAAAAAACTTTTTTGAAAACTTTTTGCAACTTTTTTCACAAAGAATTAAAAAAAAAAAAAAAGCTATTCATTTCCTTTTTTTTAAAAAAAATAATTAAATTTACTTATTTTGATATTTTTATATCTTTCGGTATTTAGTTGAATTAACATATTTTTGTCTCCCTCCCCTTCCTTTTTAATAACACGTGTTTTGCACTACTTTTTTCCGCCATCTTGGTTGACACATCACGTGACTTCACGTGTCGTGTCAACCAAGATGGCGCCCATTGAGAAAATAGTGACATCCACAATCAACATTTACCAAGATTTTTCCCAACATACTTATTCAGGACAATTGTATCATGACTCACAAATTAAAGTTGTATCCTAAATCATATAAATTTGGAAAAAAAAGTAGCATAGATAAGATATTTGTATACTAACTTAGATCTACATAAAATATAGGAAAAATTGTACACCTATAACTTATACTAGCTTACGTATAATACAGGAAAAGTTTTGCATGAATACAAATTTACATATAATATAAGAAAAGTTGTATATGTATATAAGCTAAAGTTTAAGGTATGAAAAGTTGTACATGTGTACTAGCTTAGGTATAATATAGGAAAAGTTGTACATGTATACTACCTTAGGTATAGTATAGGAAACGTTGTACATGTATACTAGCTTAGTATAGTATAGAAAACGTTGTACATGTAAACTAGCTTAGTATAATATAGGAAAAGTTGTACATGTTAACTAGCTTAGTATAATATAGGAAAAGTTGTACATGTATACTATCTTAGGTATAGTATAGGAAACGTTGTACATGTATATTAGCTTAGGTATAGTATAGGAAACGTTGTACATGTATACTAGCTTAGGTATAGTATAGGAAACGTTGTACATGTATACTAGCTTAGGTATAGTATAGGAAACGTTGTACATGTATACTAGCTTAGGTATAGTATAGGAAACGTTGTACATGTATCCTAGCTTAGTATAGTATAGAAAACGTTGTACATGTAAACTAGCTTAGTATAATATAGGAAAAGTTGTACATGTAAACTAGCTTAGTATAATATAGGAAAAGTTGTACATGTATACTAGCTTAGGTATAGTATAGGAAACGTTGTACATGTATACTAGCTTAGGTATAGTATAGGAAACGTTGTACATGTGTACTAACTTACATAGACATCAGGAAAAGATTGAAACGCTCCGGCTTTCAAAATCCTTGTAAAATTCACAGATATCTCTAGCGAGCGAAACTTTTCACACGTAACAGTTCCTTTGACGTGACGATGACTACATCGTATGGTAAACGACTCTCCTTCAACCACAGTATCCTTGTCCAACACACTCTCAAAGCCAAAGACTTGGGGGGGGGGGAAAAATTGTTTTTAAAAATTCCGTTAAAGCACCTAAAAAATAAGAGGAGCCGATATCCACAAATGATTTATATTTAGCTTAATTGAATATTGCTTTGTGACACAAGTTTTAATTGAGGTGATTAGATTTGATCGTCATTTTAAGCAGCCCAACAGGATGGTTTGTCAGAGTGCTGTGTGGTCAGGGATTATTCTATGAAGGGAGAATTGATGTTACCATGAATGGTCAAGAGAGGGTACTATTTTTAATATGCTACAAATGCGTTTTGACAATGCTGGGGAGCTCGCAACCAAAAAGGGGGTGCAAGGTGTCACATTGGAACTGATTTGGTGGGTGTGCATGTAAAAATACTTGGCTAAAGAGATAGCACCGCGTTCTTTGCAATGGCCGCCATCTTGGTTGCCGCGACCCTTGAACTATGACGGTTACACGCGTCGCGGCAAACCAAGATGGCGGCCATTTACAAATAAAATAATTCACGTTTGCTAAAATTAAGAATAAAACCTTTAAAAAAAATAATGAAAAAATGTCCTTAATGAATCCCTTAACCTAACCTTAACCATAAATCTATCCCTAAACCTAACCTGATTCCCAAATTTATCTCTAACCTGGGTTTTGACCCTATTGGAACCAGGGATTTGACCCTATTGGAACCAGAGTTTTGACCCTGAAAACTAGGAAAATGAACAAAAACGAAAAAAAAAAGAAGAAATAATGAAATCCCAACAACACTTGTACACACTTTATTTCAGGTTCCACAGAAAATAATATCCATAAAATGAATAAAATACAAGATCTGACGTGAAGTTACGTGAACTGTCAGCAGACCCCTCCCCCACTTTAAATACCAAGATCAGAAACACATTATTTGGGGAGGGGAGAAAAATAGAGGAAAATAGAGGAATTAATTTTCTTATAGGATACTTTAAAATTATGCGTATTTTCTGGAAAGGAATGCTAAAACGTTACGTCACTTTTCGTCTTCTTTGATGTGCTCTTGGTGTCCGGCGGCGGTAAGTTTGAAGAGCGCTATTTCGTTTCGTGCCATACATTTCTGCTTCAGTTTAGACCCCTCCCCCACTTTAGATACCAAAATCAGAAACACATAAATTATCTGAGGAAGGGAGACCCCCCTCCCCAGAACCCCTCCC